AAAAAGATGAGGGGAAAGAAACCACCCCCCCCTCCAAAATAACCCGACGCGCGTTTCGGTGCTCTTGTGATGCACCTTCGTCAGGTTTTTGGACTTAGTTTATATGTGGCAGTTATTATGATAGATACTACTCTTAATACATTTTATTTTTTGGATTATTTTATATCCAATATATAGTATCTATTTATACTCTTCTGCTTATTCAGTTACTTATGTCCCAATATGCTAGCAATTGAGTACATAGCAGTTAACATTATAGATACTTTTTTGATACAATTTACTGATTGAATTATTTTCAATAGATCCCACATATAGTATCTATTTATACTTTTCTGCTTACTCAGCCTCTAATGTTCCAATATGCTAGCAATCAAGTATTATATCTTATATAATGCCACAGCTTGAGACTTACTAGGTAAAAGCAAGTCCTTAATGTCTCTTATATATTCTTTGGATGTATTGATACCAGCCTGCAGTCACAGATATTGACCTATGAAGCATTATATATTAAAGTCTAAACCTGTGTACTGCAGTATCTACTTTTAGAGACATTAGGAAGGGACTTTTTTGCCATTAGGCAGTTATTTTCTACTTTCACCTGACCCATTTTTCTATTATTGTATTTTCTCATTATATATATCTCTATATCTCACTTTGTATAGAATTATTACTATTCATTATTCCAGTGGATACTCAGGTACTAGTTATTTTGAGTATCTTATAGTTTTGCCCCAAGACACAACTGGAGTGTCTTATAAGGTGTGACCATCTACAGGCTAAGTGGTCTAGTCTATTTTTTAGACAGCCATTGCCTGTAGACGGCTTTCTTTTTTCTTGTTTGGTCAATAAAGAATACATTTCTATTCTTCCTTATCAAGTGCAAAATGCAAAACTACAATGCATGCTATCCAGCTGTTATAATAGAAAACCTGAAAAACGTTCTATAGTAAAGTTCCATTGGTCTCCCTGGTGTCTCAGTATATGGAATATCGGTGTATGCTTACTTTAGGCCAGGAGTAGTCAACCTTCGGCTCTCCAGATGTTTCTGACTACATCTCCCATGATGCTTTGCAAGTATCTAAGAGCACTGTGGGAGATCGAATCCACATCTGGAGTGCTGAAGGTTTATTACCCCTGCTCTAGGCCAACAATTGGCTGACCGATGAAGAGAAAGACCATAATGTTTAATCTACACATTTGCTATCATTTTTTCTAACACACTGTACAGGTGTTTTTGCTATTTCAGTAGAGCATAACTTTGTGTACCCATGACAGCTATACATTAAGTCAAAACTTATATATGTCTATAGTAGCCCCAGGAGTTTCAACTTACCTCTCAACCTCACTGGAGCCAGGGACGTATTTGCTGTGAGGCGGCAATTTCCAAGGGGCGGCAAAAAACTCCGCCCCCAAATGCCCAGGCAAATACCTGGTTTGCCTCGATTTATGTGAGCCCAAGAGCTGGCCGGCTGGCCACCTTTGGGCTTCCCCGCGGGCAGGCGGGCAGTGGTTTCCTGGGCGGGCAGCGAGGGAGCACTTTCCCCTGAGCTCTCTGCTCAGCTCCCTCGCACGACCCACAGTAATGCAGGGGGCCAGAATATGACATCATATGGTGGATTTCAATTTAAAAAAAAATATATTAATAATAGTGAGTGGGGGAAATGTGTGAGTGTGTGTCAGTGAATATGAGTGTGTGTGTGTCAGTGAATTTGAGTGAGTGTATATCTGTCAGTGAGTGTGTGTGTCAGTGAATGTGAGTGTCTGTCAGTCAGTCTGTGTGTGTGTGTCGGTCAGTGAGTGAGTGCATCTGTCAGTGAGTGAGTGTCTGAGTAAGTGTATGTCTGTCTATCAGTGTGTCAAATCAGTGAGTGTGTGTATGTCATTGTTTGTCAGTGTATGAGTGTGTCATATGAGAGTGTGTGTCTGTCATTGAGTGTATGCATCTATCAGTGAGTGTGTGTGTCTGTCAGTGAGTGAGCGTCTGTCAGTCAAAGTGCGGCCTTGACAGGAAGGGGTGGGGAAATTTAAATTGGGGTGAGGGGGCAGCACATATCCTAATACACCGTGACTGGAGCCCACTATATACATATGAAATACTTCTAGGATCAGCCACAATACAGATTGCAAAGCCTATGCTGTGAGTTGAATGGATACAGTATGGAAAATGTGTGAACTATTTGAAATAGCTGGATTCTTGCATTATTTACTCACATAAATTAGTCTGATTTACTGCTTACATATGTGAGATTATGTTAAATATATTTGTATTAGAGTCACAGATGAAGTACAAAGTCTAGTCCTATTTTCATATCAATTAAAACACAACTTGCATAGCTATAATTTGCTTCATAAATGCCTGCTCATAACTACTTTGAATCCACCCATGTGAGCAATATGATGTCAGTGCAGAGAGCAAATACCGGCCTATGACTTATGACTGGATGAGTCACCGTTTACAGAACCTAGAATACTGGAAAGGGTTTATTCACCAAACAGTGAATTGTTCTAAATTGAAAAACAAATTTTGCAAAAATAGCCAAGCTGTGACTATCGTTGATTTGGAGAATGTATTTCTAGATCAGCAAGTTTTGCCTAATAGTGTAATTTTAATTAGTAAATAAATCCCAAAATCGTTTGGACCTTATTTTTGCATTTAATTCACCCACTTTTTACTATGTCACGGTTTTAGTTTTTTTGGTCCTTTTTTTGTGTGCATTTTTTTTCCCCCCAATAGTTGCAGTACGTATATGGTAAGTACGAGGTCTATCCTGAAAGTATCCAGCGATGTAACATGAAAAATAGAGAAGAAAATAGATACAAGAATCATTGTACATAGGACCATAATGCCTCAATTCCCTTTAAAGTTGACACCTTGGGACCTCACACAGTTCTCACTGTTTATAACACTTGGCAGAATTCTTTGTTGGAATTGCCATCAGCTGCCTCGTCGTATTTACCTGAATCTCATTGACGGCCTGAAATCTCTTCTCTTTCGAAGTGATTTTAGTTTTGGGAAAAGCCAGAAGTGGCAGGGCACCCAATCTTCCAGCAGATTCTCTACCATCTGTGAAGCATTTCGGCCACACGTTTATTTGGGATGCATTCATTGCATCGTCCCTGAAAGCCTTATGAATCATCCGAATAGTTTCCGTGGAGGAATGTTCAAGCTTAACATAAAATTTTATGCAGATTCGTTGCTCTACTCGCTCAGTCATTTTGAATGCGACGGAATGCTCACTCAACGGCATCTAGAATCCCCACTGACTAGAACAGTGAAGTCATAAATTTTCATGCATGCATGCACATTCAAGTCCACTCTTCTTCGCTGCCAGGTTACATTGATGTTGTGCAAACCATTCTTGTTATATTAACAATGGCTTGACTTTTTCTGGACAGACACTGTAAATATTTATATTTTTTTTACAGATATTAGTTATATTCCTCCATCACTATTATTAGTTTAATGGGGGTAGGTAGGGTTAAGGTAATTTAAGGGGGTGGCTAAGGGCTTGGTTACATCTAGCACTTCAAAAATTATGACTTCACTGTTCTAGTCAGTGGGGATGCTAGATGCTGTTGAGTGAGCATTCCGTCGCATTCAAAATGACTGAGCGAGTAGAGCAACGAATCTGCATAAAATTTTATGGCTTTCAAGGACGATGCAATGAATACAGCCCAAATATTTAGCTCTTAATCCAAATTTCATTTTTAACCACTTAGTGACCAGGCGTTTTTCAAAAATCTTGCCGCTGGGACCAATGCTCTTTTTACATTTCTGCGGTGCTTGTGTTTAGCTGTAATTTTCCTCTTACTCATTTACTGTAAACACACATATTATATACTGTTTTTCTCGCCATTAAATGGTCTTTCTAAAGATACCATTATTTTCATCATATCATAATATAAAAAAATTATAAAATATGATTAAAAAATTGAAAAAAAAAACACTTTTTCGAACTTTGACCCCCAAAATCTGTTTCGCATCTACAACTGCCAAAAAACACCCGTGCTAAATAGTTTCTAAGCCACACAAGGAGAGGCAACAGGGCTACACTAGTCAGCACTGGTGCCTCCTAATCGGTTACAGAGGAACTCAAGGGCATCACCCAAAGTAAATTGAATAAAAACTACTAAATGGAGTCAGGATAAGTGATGTCGCAAACCGTTCGCGAACTTCCCGCGAACGGCTCGCCGCGGTTCGCCACGAACCGTTCGCAGCGAGCTCCGGTCAGCTGACACATCCCGGCCAATCTCCAGCAGACCCTCCCTCCCAGACCCTCCCACCTCCTGGACAGCATCCATGTTGAAGGCATGGATCGTGGCATCGTGTAATACCCTAAGAGCAGGCTGGAAGCGATCACAATAGCCGCGGACGTACCAGGTACATCCGAGGTCGTTAACAAACTTTTTTTGTCTGACGTACCTGGTATGTTGGCGGTCGTGAAGGGGTTAATTAGATCAAAGACTTACAAGTGCCTTCTTGATAATTGTGTGTGTTGGGACCTTATGAACAATAAAGATCTATTTGAACTGTAGAACGCATGGAAGGAGATGGTGGAACGCAAGCCGGAAATGGGATTTAAATACAGAGAACACACGGCTGTTTTAGTTGTATTTTAGTCATCTGATTTGTTTTAGTTTTAGTCAACTAAATCTAAAAAAAATTTAGACGACTAAAATTGTTAGTCAACAAAATTAACACTGGTGGCCAGTGCAGGTCTCCCTAGGCTGTAATGTAAACACTGCATTTTCTCTGAAAAGACAGTGTTTACTGCAAAAGGCCTGAAGGTAATGATTCTACTCACCAGAACAAATTCAATAAGCTGTAGTTGTTCTGGTGACTATACGTTCAGTAAAAGGCCATTTGTTTTTTTTTATTTTATAATCCAGTATATTCCGGTAACATTCATTTTTTGGGGACACTAGTGCTCTTAAGAAATAGTGCACCGTGTAGTTTGTAATGTTACCACAAGAGGTCAGCAGGGAGCAGAAGGTTCTAGGAGCTACAAACTCAGCAAGTAACGCACAGATTAGTCAGATGGGATCTACCAGGCACAAGAGCTGAGTTCTTTCTCTCTCATTCTAGATTTCTGCATGGCTCTCTTGCTCATTGTCTCTAATTTGTAACTAAATTATTTCCTTCTTTACCACCCCTATGTCTATCTACTTGTGATCCCTAACTAACAGAGGATGGAAAAACACCATGAACCTCTCAAAGCCTCCTCTGATGTTCTACTCAGTGATACCTTCACTCTGGTTCCCAGTGAGGGCTTGCTCCTTTCTCTCCAACTTACTAAGACTGAGCTGCAGGTGCATAGCCAGCCCAGTGGACATCATGCACCAACCAGCACTCGGCTGTTCCTGACTGACTGCATAGGTTGTCGCACCTTCAAGGGTAAAGACCCAGCTGACATTGGAGGCTACTTTACAGTTGTGTTTTACCCTCTCATGATGGGTAAAGGGTCAACAGCATATCGCCAGCGAGTTTCCAGGACCTTCCGTGCGGGAACTTTCCAGGGCAGAGATCAAAACATGCAGGTGGCTAGGACCTGGGTACAGACCATACAGCAGCTAGCAGACCAGCAAGGTAACAAAAACGAACAATCAGGTGTATTCTACAAGCCTAGCTTTTCCTAGTTCTATCAGGTATTTCTACAACAAAGTTCTAAATGTGGAGCAATCAGTTGCCATAGTGATTGCTCCACTATTAGAATGCTGCCCCAAACTATTTCATTAAACGTTCTCTAACCCATGAAGTGTGTTAAAGCTGCCAGTGGATGATCATATATGTTCCATTGAAAATAACACTCCAAGCACCATAACCACTACAGCGACCTGTAGTGGTTATAGTGCTTGTCCTGCCCCCCTGAGAGTGAATATTAAAATGGTCTGTATGTAGTTATCAGTATGTCATAACACTGCATATAGCAGCCTTTGATAAATATTGTAGGGAAACATACACCATAATTTTTTTTTATTTCTTTAAGGTACAGACAGGTGTGTGTAAATGTTTGTACTTTTTTTTTTTTTAACCTACAACCTACTGGTTGCCATATCAGCTACAACAAAACAAATTGGGTGTTTGATAAGACTAGTAGTTTTCGAACTCTGAGACACTTTGCACCGGTTCTACAAGTTTGAAGAAAATACCTTTTAATGGACAGGTAGAAGAGAGTTTCATAGATATAGTTCTCTGTGTTTGCATTAGATAGTTTTATTTGTACGCGAAACTTCGGTTTTTATTTCCTGTGTAAAAGTGGTAACGTCATATAAGATAATCATTTTGCGGAAGTTACGAAAGGCTAATAAATTACTCTGTCCTTGTACCCATTCAATAAATGAATCCACCGCCCAAGATACTGAGATATAGATATAGATATATATATATATATATATATATATATATATATATATATATATATATATATATATATAAATAATATTTATTTATTTATTTATTTATTTTTTAGGTTGATAGCTCCCCATGCTTCACAAAATACTCTGGGGTTTATCTACTCAAATATTGTGAATTGAAAACCAGATTTAAAAATTTGGTCTAAATTAGCTGAGATGTGACTGTAGATAAGTTGGAGAATTGTAGAAATCGAGCACTTTTTGTCACATTTTTCAATTCATTTTTAATGCATTTCTATTAGGTATTTAGTAAACAAACCTCCTTGGAACTGTGGGTAATAGAACTATGAAATTCAAATAAATTCCGTATTGGAAAGATTCTCCAAGTCAGCAATTTTTTTTTTTAGTTTTGCTGTTTTAGGAATAAAATTTGAAATTCACAGGCCAGCTCCCAGCTATTCAAGGTTCATTTGCAAGGACCTTGGACCTTTATTGACATGCGTAACACAGCAGTTCAGTATATTGATCAGTGGATATGCAATTCAATCTGCTGTGAACTTTTCATGTGGATCAAAGTAGAAACAGGTGTGACAGGTTGGGACACATTCCAAAAGCAGATTATGCAAATTGCACAGGACAGGTGCTTTTTTTGTGTGTGTTGTTGAGTAGCTGTGATGAATGCTTTAGCTTTAATAATACCAAGTAATACGCTACTTAAAACAATCACCCACTGATAAATAGCACCTATTTTTGTATAAATAAACATCCCCTCTACTTAGAATTTGGTATTGCAGTTTCCTTCTTCATTGTTCCTATAAGCACATATTATTATTATTATTATTATTATTATTATTATTATTATTATTATTATTATTATTTATTTATTTATTTTTATTTATAAAATATTTTACCAGGAAAGCTGCATATGTCTAAAAAGCTGCCATCGAAATTAGTGGGCCCCTTAAAAATGATGTCTTAAGCGTTTGAAAGCTATAGAAGCCGAATGTTTTAAAAATTCAGTTTTGTGTTTTAGCGCTAGACTGTCACACTGTAAACCCGAACCAGAAAACAATTAAGATTCCACGGTGCCCTACACAGGTTACTCGTTTAGGGCCCCCCTTCATTTGGGTGTGTAATGGGGCCTAGCAAATTCATGCTTCCGAGGAACCTGTCTAATATGTGGGCAGTAGGCAGCCGCCTAGGGTCGCCTTATGGATAAACTTGCTCTGACCTGAACTAAATTAACAGGGAGGTAGCAGCATGGGCCGGTACAGTCTCAGCAATATTAGTTCTCATGTGTGTTGTAGCATCTTATTTACTGCGATCCAAAAAAGGGCCTTGATTCAACATGTTTTCATTAGCTTTTAAAAAGATTTTTTTTTTCAAAATATTCAAGTATATTATAAATTAAGAATGGGGAATTAATACAATTTTTAAAGAGGTTTAAAAAAAAAAAAAAAAATCTTTATTTTAGCCACAGAGTGACATGAGGTGTACATGCATAGCAAAACACAGTAAGTAGACTGGTAGTAAAACAACAGCATATAACACAGTAAAAACGTTGCACATTTGTCAGGCTGTGGGTTTTTTGTATAGTTAAGGAGGCTGGTGGTGGCTGGTTTAGTGTTAGATATGTGGCGTTTATAGAGAGAGAGTAAAAGTGCCGGTGTTAACAATAGAGAAGATGTGCAAATAAGATGGGCCATAACTAGAAATCGGAGCTTGTTGGTGGAACATGCTTGCTTTGTTATCTAGCAGATTCAGGTGTATTCCTTGCACATCCCTAGCTTAATTAACCCATAGGCAAGGGGGGGAAAGGGGAACAATAGAGGACAAAACCAGTCGGTCTGAGAAGGGTTGAAATAACTATCCTGCTCCGTGTGTAAGGATGTAAACTTTTGTGTGGTTAGGGGAAGAGACTCTCTAATTACATGTGTCCTTAACTGGGCCTGTAAGATGCAGTCCTGTTTGAGGTCAGGTTGTGGCTGTGACATGAGTGTCTGGTATGGCCGGTTTGGGTACAAATTCCAGAGCTGTCCCTGGGTTCCATCTGTGGGTTGGCTGAGGCGCTGTACTCGGGGCATCGATGCTGACGGAGTTTTGGGGGATTCCCAAACACTGCAGGATCGCTGCAGCTTCCTGGAGGTCTCGTATGAGGTAGGTCATGTCCCCGTGGAGGATCGACAGTGCTCGAGAGGGGCGCCAGTGGCAGCGTATGTTGTGCCGTTGTAGAAGGGAGGTGAGTGGTCATAGTTCTCTGCGCCATGCCAGAGTGCTGCAACAGAGGTCCGCGTAGAATGTCAGTGACATGTTTTCGAGGGTGTAAGGTGACTTGCCCGTTAGAGCAGTCAGAAGTCTCCAGAAGGATATTGATACTTTAGAGAGAGTTCAGAGATGGGCTACTAAATTGGTTCATGGATTGCAGGATAAAACTTACCAGGAAAGGTTAAAGGATCTGAACATGTATAGCTTGGAGGAAAGACGAGACAGGGGGGATATGATAGAAACATTTAAATACATAAAGGGAATCAACACAGTAAAGGAGGAGACTATATTTAAAATAACAAAAACTACCACAACAAAAGAACATAGTCTTAAATTAGAGGGGCAAAGGCAGTGGTCGAGTCCTGCAGGAACGCATGGGAACGGCATTCCTGCACTTTTTCCAAAGCAGGTACACCGTTCCCGTTACCTGTCCTGCAGGACCGGCCCTGCTACCTGCACAGAGGGGCCATCACACGCTGTGTTCCCTCTCCAGCTATAACTCTGGCGAGACCCGCGGCTGTTACCATGGCGCTCCGCACAGGCGAGTCTCGCGAGAGTTAGAGCTGGAGAGGGAACACAGCGTGTGATGGCTCCCTCCACCAGACCACCAGGCGATCTCCCCCCTCCCTGACAAGGTAAGAAGCAGGGAGGGGGGCATAAAAAAATATACATACACATCATCCAGCACTCACACACCCATCATCCAGCACTCACACACACCCATCATCCAGCACTCACACACACACATCATCCAGCACGCACACACACACATCACGCACACACACACACATCATCCAGCACACACACACATCCACATCATCCAGCACACACACACACACATCATCCATCACTCACACACACACACATCATCCAGCACCACACACACACACATCATCCAGCAGCACACACACACATCATCCAGCGCACACATCATCACACACACACACACACACACACACATCATCCACACACACACACATCATCCAGCACACACACATCATCCAGCACACACACATCATCCAGCACACACACATCATCCAGCACTCACACACACACATCATCCAGCACTCACACACACACATCATCCAGCACTCACACACACACATCATCCAGCACACGCACACACACATCATCCAGCACACGCACACACTACATTTATTATACACACTCTGCACTCACTACAAAACACTACATTCACTATACACACTGCATTCACTATACACACTGCACTCACTACAAACACACTACATTTATTATACACACTGCACTCACTACAAATACACTACATTTATTATACACACTCTGCACTCACTAAAAACACACTGCATTCATTATCCACACTCTGCACTCACTACAAATACACTACAATTATTATTCACACTGCACTCACTACAAACAGACTACATTTATTATTCATACTCTGCAATCACTACAAACACACTACATTCATTATACACACCCTGCACTGCACTATATGCATAGGAGTGTAATTTTTTTAAAGGCGAGAATCTTGGGTGAGTTCCCACACTTTTTCCCCCAGGACTTGACCCCTGGGCAAAGGTTTAAAAATATTAGGAAGTATTACTTTACGGAGAGGGTAGTGGATGCATGGAATAGCCTTCTAGTTGAAGTGGTAGAGGTTAACACAGTAAGGGAGTTTAAGCATGCATGGGATATGCATAAGGGAATCCTAACTATAAGATAAGGCCAGGGACTAATGAAAGTATTTTTAAAAAATTGGGCAGACTAGATGGACCGAATGGTTCTTATCTACAGTCACATTCTATGTTACCAGGACAGCTGCCTTGTCTTTTCCGTTCTGGAATTGGATTATCAGGTCCCTTGATATTGTAGGTGGCGCCTTTGCCGGTTTAGGCACCCGGAATATTTCTTCAGTCACTGTTGCTTTGGCCTGTCTAGGGGTCAGTAAGGCTGACAGCAACCGTCTCACTTCGTGTGATATCTCTGCTTCAGGGATATTTTCAGAGATCCCTCTGATTTTGAGATTATTCCGGCGGCGGGAATCGTTTTGTGCAGCAAATCGACACTCATATGAGTGATTCTGTTTTTGCAAGTCGCGGATCTCATGTTGAAGAGATGTTATCTGCTGTGTGCAGGAGTGTGAGTTAGTTTCCAGTGCTCCGATTCAGCTTGTCAGGCCCTGCAGGTCCTGACGCATTACGGCCATGTCTGCCTGTATTTTTTTTTTTGCAGGTCTTCTAGGAGCTCCTTTAATATCATAGTTGTCATCGAAACAGAGTCTGGCTTCATGAGAGGGGTCGGCGGTGGAACTGCCTGAGCAGATGTCTAGCCCTCCTCTGTTTCGCAGGAGAAGTCATCTGAGAGGTCCGAGCAGTCCCCAGTGAGGGACGCCATTTTAGGCCCATGAGCCTGCCGCCACAGATCTCCAATGTTCATGCCCATTTGGGGTGCATCCTGCCTTGTTTTTTTCGTTTTTTTCCCCCATGGGGTTTGAGCAAGCTGGGGGGTTCCTCAGAACTCAATAAGGCTGGTCTAGATGTAGAAAATTGTGTAATTATAACCCTCGAGGTCTGGAGCTCTACAAACATGCAACCGTCTGCTTTGGCTGTCAGATTCCGACCCCCTTTAAATCATTTGAAAAGTCTATACAAAAATATTAAATTGAGGCCAAGATTTTTCTTATAACTCACAAGAAGTAACATACATGACCTTACCTCATCTCAAATGTAGTTAAAAGTTGTTTTTCGGGCTGTATCCAGTTCATGTTTTCAGGATGTACTGTAAATTCCATCAAACAAAGCTGTCAATATGAACTTCATCTCCACAGACATGGTTTGACTTCATATCCAATGATCCAGGATGCAGAGTCAAAAGAACAGCTTGTATGACTATCCGCAAACTTATTGACAGCCCTGGATTTACAGATAAATGTCTATGGAAAATGTGTCCAGAAGGTGGCTATAGTCCTTTTGCTTTTGTGAATAGAAAGAAACATCACATGGTGTTTCATAGAATCTAAAAACTGATCTCAAAATGCGTTGGTGCCATGCAGTACAGACTTATTGCAGTCTCATTTTAAAGTGGCACTGTCACCTTTTGGGGAATTTGCAAAGTCCCCCAATGGTAACATCGCCACTGGTGGTCTATTGGCACGTAAAGGTGAGTTTACTTACCAGTACCTGTCCATCCCAGGCGACGCCTTCTTGATCTGCTTTGGTCCTCCTCGGTGCTGATGTCACTTCTTCTGTACTCTCCTTTATGAAAGATTCTGTCTTTATGAAAAACAAATTTTGGGAGGGGGGGTGACCGTGCCGCTTTTAGATATAGGCCAGGGGTGGGCAACCTTCGATATTCCAGATGTAGTGGACTACATACCCCCAATGCTTTGTCAGCATTGTGACTTTAAGAGCATTATGGGACAAGTAGTCCACAAAATTTACTTTTGCGTCTAAACCTTACATTATATGGTTTGTTGTAGATTTTATCCTGTGGAATATTTAGCGTTTACAAATAGGCTTTATTTACAAAGCCTGATTGGCTCGCATGGTAGACTGGCCGATGCACTGGCCCTCAAAAGAACGTTGCTGTCTAGAATTCACACTGGGATGTTTCTACTTCCACATTTGCATGATACCTGGAACAGATAGTGATAAGAACTGGGAGGGCTTCTTTTAATGGTTTGTCCTGTGTGACTGCGTGTGACTGATAAGGAGTGAGAAAGCTTCTCGGAACCCCATGCATGCTGTATATACACACAGTATGAGTACACCCGGGTACATGATCTTACATAGGCATGAATCATGTTAATTGTTTTGAAATGAGACTGTAAGTTCTGCATTAATCAGCATTCCTTCAGGCTGGTGGTAACTAATGAGGGGCAGAGGCAGCGTTTAGCATCACGAATTTTGAAGAATTTGGATATGTTTTTCAAATGATTTAGTATTTTTGCATAACGTTTTAAGATGATTTAAAAAAAAAAAAATTAAATATTTTTTTCCATATATTGTTTAAATACTATCATATTTTAATAGTTTGAGAAAAAAACATATTTTAGAAATTTATAAAAAAAAATTAAATCATTTCAAAAGTTTATCCAAAAATATAAAAACCGAGGAATTAATTTCCAGCTCTTAATTCTCATGTACATCCACATTTTATCTCTAGCTTTCTTTGTATGAACATAATCCTTTATCCAGTTAAGTGTCCAACAATAGTAAAACAGTTTGACATCTTACCATGGGATGGTAACAGGGCACTCCTGCCACCATCATCACTACAGCAAACTGAAGTGGTCGTGGTGCTCGGAGTGTTCCAATATATAAATAATGCAATAGAAAATAATTGGGTGAAAAACAGCCTGGATTGTACCTTTTTTGCATATAGTTTGACATGAAATTCTATATATTTAAAAAAAAAAAAAAACGCTCACAGTGTGAGACCAGACCTGTCCTGCTGGCCACTCCCACTAAAAATAAATTGTCCCTCTTTGTCATATTGAAAAATTGGGAGGTATGTCCAAGTATATTTACATATACGCTTCCAAATTGATTAAATTAAATAGAAATAAGGAATTTGGGGGCACACCCGGAACATGACTTTGTCAACAGCAATACAGATGTAAGGACCGAAATATATATAAAAAAAAAATACAGATTAAGGAACAACGCACACACAACAAAATACAGTGTTACATTTTATAAGGCTATTTAAAATCGCCTATCTCAGCATACAAATATGGGGTTTCAGTTCCACCATATGGCCACACTGTGTTAAGCCCACCACTATGTCCCCAATATCGGTAGGTCCTACACTAATTATAACATGGGAGATTATCATGCTACTTGTAATACATACAGCTTAAACGGCTATCATTGGCTTTTCTGTGGGTTTCCTGTGGTCACCTCCAAAGGAGCATAATTAATTTATACACAATACAGTTTATATATCATGTTGCTGGCACAGCTCCATGGGAAATGTAGTTGAAGAACATGCCAGGTGCCAAGGTTACTTCTCACTGCATTATTGTTGACATATATCATTTTTATTCCCAGGAGAGCCATATTTTCTGCCTACCTCACCACACTTTCTGGTGTTGGTAAATCCCCATGGCGGAACTGGTAAAGCGCTAGAACTGTTCCAGAAACACGTGATTCCTATTCTAATGGAGGCTGATGTACACTTCACCTTGCTGGTAACAGGTATGGGTTCTAAAGGTATTATAAGGGCAGGGAGGAACTATCTACATTGGGTTATATTGTTACTTACTAAAATGGGGTTTCAAAATGAATTTCAACTTTAAGTTTACTGATGTTACTTATGTTTTCGCACTTTGCTCTGCTAATTATGCTAAGGTTAAAATTTACCATAAAAATGGTTGATTGGCTTCTGAGATGAAGGTGTTTTCAACAATTTACAGTGTGTAAAGAATCAAATTTTCACTTATTTTCTTTATTTTTTAAATTATTACATGGCCGTCACTTCCTCCCAGCAGCACTTGAGGTGTAGCCACAATTTATTTTTTTTAAAGGGGCCCGGTCGCGCAATTACATGCCTGCAGCGCTGACAGGGCCCCTGAAGATATAGGGCCCATCGGGTGGCCCTAAATGCTTGGGCCACCTGATGGGCCCTGGTGCATATGCACCTGCGGCAGTTTCGCCGCTCCACCTGGGGCCCGTGCCGCCGGGCCTGTGACAACAGTTATGGTTGTCACCCCCTGATGGCGGTCCTTCTGTCAGACAAGCTTAACCTAACGTGCTTGCTGTTGTGATTGCTCTATGAAACTGCAGCAGGCAAATTAGACAAAAAATAATAATAATTTTAGTTTCATTAAATGTAATAATTTTAAAAAAAAATAGAAAGTGACAGTTGTGCTTTAATTTTGTAACAATTCACACTATGTTTGTGGCTCCCAGGCATACTGAAAGAAAAAGTGTTCTTCCATTATTATGTACGGGTCTCACATAGGGTAGGCAGCGGCGTTTATGCTCTCCTTTTGCACCATTTTATGTCTCCTGGATCCATAGAAAGGCCCAATCAGGCACGCGAATTGGTACGTGACCAGGACCTGTCCAGGTGGGACGCCATCGTTGTGATGTCAGGTGATGGGCTCATTTTCGAGGTATCAGGACACCTACTCAATCTATGGTTCTCGCTCTTCTATATTTCTTGCTCTTCTGCAATCTTTCAACTGTAGGCTCCAGAGGCAGAACCAATATATTTAAAAGAGCACTCCAGGCACCAAAACAATCCAAATTAAGTTTTTATGGTGCCAAGGTGCCCCCGAGCGCACTCTCACCTTCAGGAGTTAAACCGCTCTCCAACTGTTTAACCACACTGTTTAAGTTGCCTCCAGTGCCAGTCAGCTGACGCTCTCAGCCAATCAGTGACTCCCCATTCACAAAATTGTATTGGAAAGGGTACATTTCTTTCCAAACCAATTATGGGAATGGACAGTCACTGATTGGCTGACAGTGTCAGCTGACTCCTTTCAGCCAATCAGTGGCACCCCTGCTTGGTTGCACTCCGCGCTTCTTAAACTGAAATTTCAGAAACTGAATGCCATCTAGGGGGGAGGAGTGGAGAACGGAGTGTATAGTCGAGAACTGTTAAACCTCCTGGCACCATAACACCTTCATTTAGATGTAGTTGTTATAGTGCCATAAGCAGCCTAAACTGTCCCTTTAAGCTTTAGGATTGCTTTACTCTTTTACTCTATGGTATTTCTATGTCAAGTATTTAACTGCAAATAAATGTGGCTTTTTTTCATTTCATCCAGGTCGTTAATGGGTTAATGGAGCGGCCGGACTGGATGGTTGCTATTAAAAAGCCACTTGCAATTCTCCCAGGAGGATCGGGGAATGCCCTAGCTGCCTCTGTAAATCACTATTCTGGGTAAGGAAACGTATGCATCTTCATTACATGTCTTGATTAATATTTAACCAACAAATTGGGTTTTATTAATTTAAACTGAGAATAGTGAGGGAAATGCTTGGAATTAGAAATTCTCCCAACTCTATTTCTCCTGCTCCACTAGTTTGGCCTACAATTTGCAGTCCCCTTGTAATTTGTAAACAATTCCTGCTTAGAGAATTATCCACAGTTTTTCCTGCTTCCACTGAGAATGTGACAAAGTTCTACAATAAAGTAATAATGCTCCAGGCACTCAAGTTCAATCCAGTGGGCAGATTTATTGGAACACTGGATTGAACTTGAGTGACTGAACCATTATTACTTTTTTGTAAATCACATTGTGAGGATTGGCCAACTCAGGCCCGGTTGCACCCTGGTAATCAGGAGAGTGTGGTATCCATATTGGTAAATATAAAGTTCTACAATAGTCATTAGAACTATAGAACATGCTGTCTTCATGTAGGGACAGAAGTGTGTGACAGATGTCTACCCAACCTCCTTCAGCCGTAATCCTATTTTGCTCCCGGTTGTGCTAAATTGTAATACGTCCCAAAGCAAATCCATTGCACACTTTGTGAGACATAACAATTTTCCCAACCCCCATAGATAACAGCCTGGGCATGGTCCCATTTTACAAAATTTTACATTTTGTTAAATCTCTGTAAATAAACATGTGGAAGCCTAATAGCTTACAATATATAGCCATCTGGTTATATAACATGTATTTATCTTCTTGCAGGCAACAGCAGGTGATGGGCACCAAACTGCTGATTAATTGTTCTTTTGTGCTGTGCAAAGGTCAACCTCAACCCCTGGACATTGTCTCGTTGACCACCCTCTCTGAAAAGCGCATATATTCCTTCCTTAGCTTGGCATGGGGTTTTATATCTGATGTGGACATTGAGAGTGAGAAGTACCGATTCATGGGTTCCATACGTTTCTCATTTGGAACCTTGGTGAGGCTAACTGCGCTTCGTACATACCGAGGACGTCTTTCCTATGTGAAAGATAGTACTTTGTCGAAAACCAAAGACTTGGACACAATCACTAACAATCCCAGCTCTGATAACAAATGCCCAGTAATACAGACTGATGGCGTGGTGAAAGAAGAGCTGGAAGATTCATTGCTTGTACCATTGGGTCAACCTGTTCCAAGTCACTGGACTGTAGTTCAGGAAGATGAATTTGTCCTAGTCCTGGCCCTTTACCAGTCTCACCTTGGTGCTGACCTTTACACTGCTCCTATGGTGCAAAATTTAGGAGAAGGCAACATACATCTCTTCTATGCCACTTCCAGAATCTCTCGGGGGTCTCTACTCAAACTGTTTCTTTCTATGGAGAAAGGCACACATATGGATACTGAAATTGCACATTTAGTACATGTTCCCGTCAAAGCCTTCCGCATAGAACCATTACAAAATACAGGAATAATGACTGTGGATGGAGAGGTCATACCATGTGAACCTATTCAAGGACAAATACACAGAGGCCTTGGTTGTTGCATTTCAGCCCCAAGTAAAACATGATATCCTTGGTTTAGACATCAGCTCACTACAACCAGGGCACTGGCACCCCTCCCCTGCCCCCCCAATGTAACTATTCCAACCTTTTGCTAACACCTTGAGAATTTGCTTTGGATCTACTGGGTACCAATTTTCTCCTCCATTGTCACTGAGAGCTGAAAGCTCTCTTTATTGAGTTAAGCCCGAAGGTACAAAGCTCAGTTGATTGGCTGAGCACAGTCCGGCGATGCTCTCAGCCAATGATCTGGCTCAGCACAACATGGTTTCACCCAGGAGAGCTATTGAAAGCTCCATGAAGTCTTCAGTGGTGGATGTGACTGGTGACCAGTGCTTGGCGGACTTGTCAGCAAGCACTTTGCCTGATTGCATTGCAGATGACAGGGCACTTCTGCCACCATAATTACTACAGCATTCAGCAGTGGCTATGGTTCTTGGAGTGTTCCTTTACTCAGGTGGACTCCAAGATTCAGAACATAGACACGTTTCTTTCAAGAGCATTTGGGTACTACAATAGTTTGACCTAGAAAGCCTGATGATTATGTATTTATGGATTTCCAAACCACTCACAAATCTATGTTTAGCATTTTAGCCCTCAACTGCAACGCCCAAAATAGTCTACAGATCAATAAGAAGCAATTATATGATGATGATGATAATGACTCACAATAACCTGTAGTAGGCTGTCAACAAAGTGACACTATAATTATAATTTTCAAAATATTTTTGTGTGTGTATTTTTTTATTCATATATGTTTCTATTTAAAGGGAAACTGTAATTTCTCTGGAATTGATGCCACTGAATAAAACATTGAAAATCACCTATAACTTGTGCTAACATTTTTATACACAAGTTGATCTGATTTCTTTTAACCCCTTAAGGACCAAACTTCTGGAATAAAAGGGAATCATTACATGTCACACATGTCATGTGTCCATAAGGGGTTAACTTTATTTCAAAGATTTAGCAAATCACATCATAGTCTAGTTCAGACAAGGCAAGGGCGAAGCAAAAATACAACTGCACAAAAACAGATTGTTTTAGTTTTTCTTTAGGTTAGTGATTTATTTCTCCTGTTTTCTGTTCTGACAGAGCTTATAACAAAAAATTGACAGGGAGCAAAGATGGTAGTGCTCAATTACAGGATGAAGAAGTCTAAATTTTTACATTTAATTTTTTTATTTTTTTTTTACATCTCACAAATATATTTTTGTTAAATATAGGGATATGTAAATATATTGTAGCAAGACTTAACTTTGCAGAGTATAAGTACTAAAAATCCTTTGAAGTGACAGTCCCTTTAAATCCTGTTTGCCAAAATCATCTGTTCCATGCACAACTTGAGTCAGCTAATCTGTGGCTTTTAACATTTTTAAACAACTCATTAAGGTTTATTCACTAAATAGTGGATGAGGGTGAATTGCAAAATTAAGTCCAAAATTGATAAACTGGAAAAATTCTCCAATTTATAGTCACGAGTTAATTTTGCAATCCAGATTATAATTCATCACCGCCCACTGTTTAGTGACTAAACCATAATCTATCCTCACATTTATACAACATTGGAATCACTGAACCATACCACAGGTAAATATTACTAAAATAAAATGCAATTAAAAGGACACTATAGTCACGAAAACCCCTACAGCTTAATGTAGTTGTTCTGGTGTCTACAGCCTGTTCCTTCATACTTTGTCACAGCGGCGTACATAGCACGGTCGCAAGGGTCGCAGCTGCGACCGGGCCCGGCACTCCAGGGGGCCCGGCCGCCCTGCGGACCCCTGCGACCGGGTACCAGGCCTGCTGCCACATAGTGGCAGTCACTCAGACAGCCATTTGAGGTGCTCCCTGGTTCAGGGCTGCATGATGTACAGCAGTAATGTTACGCATCTCGACCGCACTGCATCTATGAAGAGATGCGGATTGGTGCTGCGGCATTTCTGGTTTTATCTGTGTTGGACATTCAGGTAGATTTCCCTTAGAACACAATTAGCAGTTCCATTATCTCAGGGTTACTAACATATGATTGTGGTTATAGCCCCCGGCTTATTGCAACTATTTAGTTGGGTTTATTCACTAAAGGAACACGCCAATGTTATAAACACATGCAATACCTGAGGTTTTGCAAGGGGGCGCCTGTCTGGCTTGGACCTCTACTTGACATGCGAAGTCCAGGACCCATTCGAAATAGTGACCATTGCGACCCTGATAGTTTTCGTCACTAGACAGACCCTTCTCTTACCAGGATGAGACGCTTCAAACAGGGGCATTTAATTCTGGTCTATTCTTATCTCATGAAACAATGTCTGGCAGGTTATTCTTTATTCTTTATTATGCAGGATTATGCAACAAACCAGTTTCCGAAGTTAACATCAAGTATTCAAGGCTAGCCCCAGTCACAACTAGGAATTGTAATCACTAAATGACAATGATTATAGGAACACTATAGGGTTAGGAACACAAACATGTATTCCTGACCCTATAGTATTAAAAACACCATTTAGGTGCTTTGCCCCCTTTATTCCACTTAGAGGGGGTTAAAACTTACCTTATTTCCAGAATTTACCTTTTTAGCCAATTGATTTGGCTGAAATCGGCAAAGAGGCGAGATGGGAGTGGGGCCAAACTCCGGCTTGGTCACTCAGCACCTCCTCATACAAATATGTATTTATGGACGCAATAGGTCTAAAAACCTGTTTAGGCCCCTGGCCTTCTCTTTACTCTGGTGAGAAAGATCCGGTTAGGGCTGGTCCCGCACATGCCCAACCCATTGGCTGAGATCATCAATCTTTCTTTTTTTTAATTCTTTATTTTTGTTGTGCATATGTGTTAACAGACACAGGATCAAACATATCAATACGTTTAAACTTTGGTCTAGAGTTAGGAAAACTAGACATGTCCGCTATACTGAACATTATTAACATTAGGTTACAAGGTTGTTAATCCTAGGCAAACTGCAGGGATTGAGTATGCGCTATGTGATCAATCCAAACAGGCCCAAGCCATAGAACACGCTATTATACCAAAATCAGGCAGGGGTAGACGAAGTACAAGCTGGACTGTCCCTGTTTAACATAAAGTAACCCTATGTATACACTATGTATATCACAGGTAGAGTGAAAAGCATATGAATAGTTAGATGAGTAGACCAGCTACGAGCAGTGGCGTACATACCAGGGTCGCAGGGGTCGCGACTGCGACCGGGCCCGGCCGCCCCTGCGACCCGGTATGTAGCCACAGGGCCAGCCTCTTCTCCTGGGGGGCCCAGGAGGCGGCCACCTCAGGGCCCCCCCGAGGCTGGCCCTGCTGACCCGGGCGGGCTGGCTGGGTGGCCGGCTCGCGAGGGAGCACTCTCCCCTGTGTGCTTCCTCTTCAGCTCCCTCGCGCACCACACTGATACCGGAGCCGGCAGATGACGTCATCTTCCGGCGCAGGCATCCCTATGCGGCGCGCGAGGGAGCTGAAGAGGAAGCAGTGAGTGCTCCCTCGCGCGCCGGCCACCGAGACAGCCCACCCGCCCAGGAGCCCCAGAAGCGGAGCCCAGCAGCACCACCACTGGACCCCAGGGAATCCCCCCAGCACTCCAAAAGGTAAGGAGGCTGGGGGGATTAAATTTAAAAAAAAAATGTGTGTGTTAGTATATGTATGTATGTATGTGTGTGTTAGTGTATGTGTGTATGTTAGTGTGTGTTAGTGAATGTATGTATGTGTGTGTTAGTGTATGTGTGTATGTTAGTGTGTGTTAGTGAATGTATGTGTGTGTGTGTTAGTGTATGTGTGTGTGTGTCAGTGAGTGTGTCTGTTATTTGGGTGTGTGTCTGCTAGTGAGTGTGTTACTGTGTGTGTCTGTTACTGAGTGTGTTTGATGTCTGTTAGTGAGTGTGTGTTTGTCAGTGAAAGTGTATGTTTTGTAAGTGAGTGTGTATGTATGTCTGTCGCTGAGTGTGTCTCTGTCAGTAAATGTGTGTGTCTGTTAGCTAGTGTTTATGTGTCTGTTCGTGAGAGTGTGTGTGTGTCTTCAGCATTTACCTTTCTCCAGCGTCGGACTCCCTTGGCGCTGGCGATCCCTCCGCCTCTCAGCTCCGAATGCACATGCGCGGCAAGAGGCGCACGCGCATTTAAACCGCCCATAGGAAAGCATTACTCAATGCTTTCCTATGGACGTTCAGTGTCTTCTCACTGTGATTTTCACAGTGAGAATCGCGGAAGCTCCTCTAGCAGCTGTCAATGAGACAGCCACCAGAGGCTGGATTAACCCTCAGTGAAACATAGCCGTTTCTCTGAAACGGCTATGTTTTCAGCTGCAGGGTTAAAACTAGAGGGACCTGGCACCCAGACCACTTCATTGAGCTGATGTGATCAGGGTGTCTGTAGTGGTCCTTTAAGTGTGTGTGCATACCGCGGTCGCGGGGTCGCAGCCCTGCAACCCCTGCGACCAGGTGCCCGCCGCCATGTGTTGCGGCCCCGACCCGTGCCGAGTAAGCGCGCGCGGGGGGGGGGATCAATTTTTGCACCGGGGCCCCATGGATCATGTGTACGCCACTGGCTAGGAGGCTCTACATAAAACACACTGAAGACTTGGATCTAACATAGGTAAGTTAAAGACTAACTGGAACAACTAATTCATGAGGTATATGAATTTTTACCAAGGTACATATTTTGACATATTGTTAAGTGCCTGGCTGAGAACCACAGCAGTTGAGGCCACTTCAGTCCACACCCGTTAATGAGGTGACAAGATAGTGAACATGAATCTCGCGTCTCCAGACCCAGCTCTGGCTCAGTGGCAGTGCCTGATGTGGCAGGGCCTGGCCAGGTAAGTCCCTTGTACTCCGCTTCAACTTGCCAGCATAATCTTCCCAGATGGTAAGGTGTCGTTTTCCAGCAGTCACTGATGCAGCTTGTTTTCCAAGGGAATCCCAGCTTGGACGTGGCTGTAGTTGTGCTTGGAAGTTGAGAGCCAGCTTGGGGTGTTGGAGACTGCCACTGTGAGTAGGTGGGCATGCACGCTGCTAAAGGTTCCCCCTAAATTGGGTACAAATTCGGTCATATCCCTCCAGCTGTTCGTAAGAGTCCTCAGAGATCTCAGACTCCATTGCATGTTGGATGTCAGCCACCTTGGCTCCCCATGCTGACTGGCTATGGGGGCTTTGCAGGCCTCTGAAGTTCAGAGTAGCACGGGACAACCCCCACCGGTCCAGGGGGGAGGGGGGAACGCGCCAGCTGTAGGCTCTAGCAGAAGTCCAGCATCTGGCAAGCCGGGAGAGCGGCCGTCTATCCTGTCCAGCACCCGCACAAGGCCCCACTGTGTTCTCTGTGCTTAGTTTTGGCAAACAGCATATCAGTTGCTCAGGTAGATACCCGAGTTGCGCCATAAATTACACAGGTATAGGGTTTGCAGATTTGAACTAAATTGAATTGACTCAATTGCGTAACATTATGATATTATGGTAATAGAGATTAAGGTGACACTCCCAGAACGAACACAACTCTAAAGGTTAAACTTCATAGAGTCGTTTTTCAATCTAAATTAACCTTGATTATTACGTAACTTTTATATATTTTACTTCTATCCTAAATAATTATGCATGCTCCGTTTTGTAGTATAGAAACTGCATTTGAAAAACAAGAAAAAAAATCACGAACAAAACAAAAAAATAATAATAAAAACAAAATATTTACTGTAACTAGAATATGTGAAGTTCTTTTGCTGGTCTTTCACCATTGGTGTCCCACACCCCCTATTCTGTTACTTATTATGAACATCATACTAATTCTTACTTAATATGTTACTTATTGCAAGCACAATGAAAAGAATTCACTTTGGAAGAAGCATTCCTTTAGCAAGCGGGCAAAACGGTGCCTATACTGTAACATGCTAACATGTTTGACCCAAACTGCGTACATAACATGACCTAGCTACTCTGTCCTAGCCTGTCAGTCCTGCCCAATCCTGTAACCAAAATTGAAAATATTTGGAAGTACCAGTGATGGAGAACATCTGACTCCATTTGTTGAGGACTGTGGTTTTTCAGTATACTCCCACACCACCTCACTATCACCTCCGTCCCACACCACCATTACCCCCTCACTATCACCCCCTCTCAGTATACTCCTTCCCAGTATCCCCCCTCACTATCACCCACCTCTCAGTATACTCCCTCCCAGTATCCCCCCCTCACTATCACCTCCCTCCAGAATACTCCCTCCCACACCACCATTACCCCCTCCCTCCCAGAATCCCCCTCACTATCACCCCCTCTCAGTATACTCCCACCCACACCACCATTACCCCTTCCCTCCCAGAATCCTCCTATCACCACCCTCCAGTATACTCCCTCCCAGTATCCCCCTCACTATCACCCCCTCCCAGTATACACCTTCCCACACCATAATTACCCCCTCGCTACCAGTACCCCCTCACTATCACCCCTCCAGTATACCCCTTCCACATCACAATTACCCCCTCCCTCCCAGTATCCCCCCTCACTATCACACCCCTCTCAGTATACTCCCTTCCACACCACCATTACCCCCTCCCTCCCAGTATTCCCCCTCATTATCACCCTCTTACATGTATGTATGTGTATATATATATATATATATATATATATATATATACATACATACACACGCGATGCGTGTGTTTGTGCTTTAGTGTGCACACCCTAATGCAATAGGCTGCGCACGCATATGTATACACTGGTGATCTTTAAAGTAAATCTTAGGAACTCAAAAGTAAAATAGAGAAAATATACTGCATATGGTAAAAAAATACAAATTTATTAAGTGGTAATGCACTTATAAAACATCAAATGAAGTGTCAGCATATCTTCATGACACATGGTTTCCAGAGTTCTGCTGATAGCACAAAGTTCCAGAGATTAAATTTGAAAATCTTCAATAAGAAATGAAATTAAAAATACAAAAACAAAGTAAAGTAATACAATAAACAGTCCTGATCATTTTGTCCTGTTGGACTTCTTCAGGGATGTGTAATTAGAGTTCCTGATGCTCCTCTAAGGCATATATATTTTTATATATATTCACTTTGGTGATTTTCATACATATTCTGTTTTTCCTTTTTTGTTTTTTTCTGGATTGTTGCTGAGTGTCTTAAGGGAACACTTTTTTCCTTGAAGTGCTTAATACGTTTTTAGCGCGTATAGTGTTTTGTTGTTTGCACTTCTGTTTTCTTCCCTATTTTCCATAATTAAACATAATATAAAAAATCCAGGGGAGTGACCGTTTCCCTTTAATCATTATGTATGAATTTGTTCTAGTTCACAGTTGTAAGTAGACAAAATACTTAAGCCAAAAAATGGTGTTTTCATAAAGGTGGTCTTCACTAAAAAAATAAAGCTACGAACTAGAACTTACCTCCATTCCAGCTATGAGGCCTAGTTCTCCATGAAGTCCGATCCTCTTTAGCTGATGTCACTCCCATTTGCAGACTGGGAGGTAGGCTGGGGAGACGAACTAAGGGGAGGACAGGTGCAGCATGGACGATGGGCGGCGGCATGCTGGCATCTGAGTCCAATTTGCACAGAACTGTCATTAGCCTTTCTGGAACTTTATTCCGGGTTGCTAATGATGTTACATCTCTAGCAGCTCAGAGGTTAAATTCTGTATGCCTAGTATTTCAAAGCCGAAAGCTGCACATACAGACTCCCAGTACCATTGACCAAATCAATGAAGTTGTTATGGTGCTCTGAGTAACTCATTAAAGGACCACTATAGGCACCCAGACCACTTCAGCTTAATGAAGTGGTCTGGGTGTCAGGTCCAGCTAGGGTTAACCCTTTCTTTTTTTATAAACATAGCAGTTTAAGAGAAACTGCTATGTTTATAATAGGGTTAATCCAGCCTCTAGAGCCTCTAGTGGCTGTCTCATTGACAGCCGCTAGAGGCGCTTGCGTGCTTCTCACTGTGAAAATCACAGTGAGAAGACGCCAATGTCCATAGGAAAGCATTGTAAATGCTTTCCTATGAACTGGCTGAATGCGTGTGCGGCTCTGGCCGTGCATGCGCATTCAGCCGATGACGTCGCTATGAAGGAGGAGAGGAGGAGGAGAGCTCCCCGTCTGGCGCTGGAAAAAAAGGTAAGCTTTTAACCCCTTCCTCTCCCCAGAGCCCAGCGGGAGGGGGTCCCTGAGGGTGGGGACACCCTCAGGGCACTATAGTGGCAGGAAAACGAGTATGTTTTCCTGGCACTATAGTGGTCCTTTAAAGTATAATTATAAAAACGGATAAAATCTATGACACTTTAGAGATACTTATTCAGGCATACAGCATGTACTGTTGGGTTAGATCCTTCTCTTACAGGTGATATGACAGGAAAAGATAGCGAAAATATTAAAGGGACCCCTATACAATGACATGTTATTCTAATTTTTTATTTTTCCTATCCTACTTTCCTAAGTTTAGGTTGCCCATAAAGACTTCCATTAGAGTTTTGGGATATTATTATGTAGTGTCACGTTTCCAATAAGAGTAGTATTCCACTTGTGATTCTTCCTCCCAATATTTTCCCCTTCAGTTGGTTTTATAACCATCTCTCTTTGAAGGATTAAATTGGGCAATTTAACAATTTCCCATCAGTAAGAAATAATAGGTCTCAGCCATTCTAGGGAATTCTAGACATTTCGATATTACACCTCTCTCGACAGTTAGGAAACTCATTTGATATAAACACTTTGCAATTCTGTGATATCAGAAAATGACGCCCATCCAGAGACACTCTTGAAGTGACACAACCTGTAGACCGTATAGATATAAGCGTTCCTTCTTTTTCTAGATTAACACACTGTTTGAAAAATTATGTGGACACCATACATTCATTAAAGACTCATTTGTCCTCAACCTATTCCATTCTTAACCGATATTCCATTCTACCATAACAGTAGACATCCCACCAACAACTAGGTAGACTTAGATGGTGTCTGCATGCTGATGGTGTCTTCTCAGAACAACATTTGAAAATTAGAATATTAGACACAGTTTGGGGGAGGGATCCACACTTTTCAAACTGCAAATCTCATCCTAGAAAACAATATGAAGAAAGATATGATATCAACGTGTTTATAAGTACAGACTACCCAGCAATCCAAGTAATAGATGATACGTTTATCAATGGTAGGAGCCATCCAGGCATTGTTCCAGAAATTTGTGGAAATTCTATGTATATATGGAAAACAAATATGGTGGAGGAGGTTAATTAAAAGCAAGAACACATGCCAAGTTCTTGAGACACAGTAAAGATGACTGAACCAGACAGGTTTGTAGAATCTTTTGAAAAGTAATGAGGTGTGATTCAGACAATTATATGGCTTCAGAATGGAAGATTTTAGATACAGGATAATTGCATCTCCCTTGTGCTGGTTCCAGTTAGTATCTCTGTTACAGTTGTGTAACCGGTTTACCAGAATGCTGTCTGGAATAACTGTTGGTAGGATAGCAATCTTTTCTTAATCTCATGCAAGCTGGTTTTTAATGAATGTGTAGAGAAGTATAGTTTTTGGCCATGCCTATTTTATGGAACCTGCGCGTGACACTGGCTGTTGTGTATAAACATACTCTCACCACACTGGGAATGACACCAAAAGCTGCATGGGTAGAAGCATTTGCTGAAAATTCTGGTTACTAAAATACAAGTGCTGGTGGTAATGGGGATCTATGTATTGGCCCTCGGTTTGGATAAGTGTTTACCAACAGAATGCTTTTTGTTTCAGCCTCAAGTGAGTTTTTACTCATTGCCTGCTTATTATTATTATTATTATTATATACCTGTATCATTCATAAATGGTATTTGGTTCTATTACTTTTTAATAGTACAATGACCTCATTCGGACTGGGAAAGCCAAATGCATTAGTTGTTCTGTGGATACCGACACAGAAGTACAAGCTTATCCGACCACATAGAATATGTCCAACCACAGAGGTATTTTAAAGAAAGGTGTGAATATTTAGAAATGGGAGAATTAGTAGAGGGACTCTGTGCACCAAAACAACTTTAGCTTATATTACATACCTGCAGGCTCACTGCTTAATTCACTACCATTTAGAAGTCAAATCACTTTTTTGCAGCCCTAGCTACACCTCCCCCAACTGAGACTTAACCAGCCTCCCTACACACTTGCTATAAAATAGTCTAAATGTTTTATCACCCCTTGTTGCATTGTGTTTTACTCTAGGATTTATTTCCTGTTAATAGCCTGCTTAAGCCTACAACAGCCTCCTGTAAAGGTGTGGAACAAATGTAGAGAAGTAAGGTAAAGAGCCCAGTGATGTTTTGCCAACTAGGGACCTTCCATTTTCCCATCTTTCTAGTGTTGTATTTGTGAGCAGTATTTGTGTGTGTGTGTGTGTGTGTGAATGTAAGCATGTTTTCTTACAGAGTGTGTGTGAATGTAGGAATGTATTTGTATATTCTGATGCTGTTTAAATGCAGTGTTGTGTTTGTATGCAGTTGTGCATTTGTGTGTAGTGTTTGAATGTAGAGGTGTGTTTGTATGACATGTTGGGATATGAAAGCAGGTGCACATTTGTGTGTAGTGTTGGCATTTCAATGCAGGGTTGTGTATGTAGTGGTGTGGTTAGACATGTGCAATTCGTTTCGGTCCGAATTAAAATTCGGCCGAATTTCGGGTAATTCGGACATTCGGGTTCTTCCGAATGTCCGAATTGCCGAAGCGCTGAAATTAACGAATTTCTGAAGTGTAGTAGTGCTGAAGTTCCGAGGTGTCAAAGTGCCGAAGCACAGTATTGCCTAAGTACTAATATACTTACCCAGTGAAAGAAGAAGAATGTTACATTGTATACAATTTTAAATAAAAAGTATACCGCGAGTAGGGGCAAAATGTACTAATACGAAGTAATTTTTATTTAGTATTAGTAAATTTGGCTTAAAGACCAATTTAGGTCTTTCAGCCTTTTGGTAGATAACTCCCTAATACTGTGGGAATTAGGGAGTTATCTACCAAGCGGCTGCAAGAGAAGTCCCGAAATGCCAAAGTTGCCGAAGTTCCGAAGTGCCGAATTCCTGAATTGACGAAGTCCAGAATTTCGGAATGCCGAACCGAGCCGAATATTTTCACCATGCACATGCCTAGTATTTGTGTATAGATTTGGCATTTAAATGATGGGATGTATGGACATATACACACACATACTGACACAGATACATGTACACAGTCAGAGCTGGGTAACCCATAAGGTGCATAAGCCGAAGGATAGTGCAGCCAGAGGAGATGGGAGTGAGTGCGGCAACTCCGGCATGTGTACGAGCTGTGCTGTGATGAGCCGCACAGGAATATTAATCCGCATCTGCAAACAGTGACACACTTTCTGACACAGATACATAGTGACACACACAGATACTTACACATTCTAAAACAAATATACATAATGATGAAAACATGCCCAAGTCATAACTTACATATTATAGCCACCCCTTTCTTCCATACCTTTTTGGTGCAAGAGATTCCCTGGGGTGCAGGTCTGTTTTGCTGTTATTTTGACCCAGATTACTGCTCTCCTGCCCTTGTGTACCTGACCCAGCCTGTTTGCCTTCTGCCTAATTTGGTGTACCAGTTCCTGGCCTGTCTGACTTCTTGTTTTGTGTACCAATCCCTTGCTTGCCCTTCAAATTGTCTCCTGGCATGTAGACTTTTTATTAGTTTAGTCCTGCTACTTCCTAGCTCATGCTTTACGTTAAGCCTGGCCACTCTAAAGTCCCTAATCTGCATAATGTATACATTTTGGTCACTACGGCAGCACCATTTCTGCAAGATGCATGTTCTAGGTGTATCATAAATTCTCTTTTGTTTTTACTATGTAAAGTCTGGAATCCAGACCAGATTCCTTTGGGTTGAGCACCCCCAGCTTCAGAGGCCCCTTTGGAAGTGACCACAGGTCTAGATTTGAGGAGGTTTTGGATAGTAATGTCACTTTAATTATAACTTTCATACAGCTGATATATGGTATGCATTGTGAGTATATACATCAACGCACAATCACTTTGTTTAGTTTTGACACTTTATATTCTCTATTCCCTTTATAACATTGATTTTGCATTATATATATTCACACTGCTCGTACAACAGATTATTTGACACTATTTGATTTTCTCCCACGTTGGAATTAGTGTAGGACCTACCGATATTGGGGTACTGTGAAGTAGTAGTTGACTTAACACAATATGGCCAAATGGTGGAACTGAATCCCCATTGTGGTTGCTGAGATGGGTGATTTTACGTAGCATTATAGAATTTAGAAATTTATTTTTATGTGTGTGCTGTTCCTTAATCTGTGTTCTATAACTCTTAGACCAATAGTTACAGCTTTTCTTTCATTTTCTAGATTACTATTTTTAATGAAGGATGTACCCAACATACCTTTCTGGATTCTAAATAATGTACAGAAACTTAATTGGCTACATTTAATACAGTACTTATTTAAGGAATATTGTTGTTCTATCTTGGTTTTATTTCTCTTCTAAGATGTTACATAAGCCTAGGTCTGCAAGAAGTGCACTTGTACTAAAGAAAAACATTTGCTCTCTCTCTCTCTTTTCTCCCCCACGCAAAAGGAGCAAGATGCTTGAGCTGCAATAATAATCCACAGATAAGAAGTCTTTATCTGGAGTACTTCTATTCCTTCATCTTCAGCTAGCATAAGTCTGCACCGCCAGGCACCATCGCGATTACTTTCTGTGCAGTTCTCTCCTCGACAAACTCAGGAACCATTTGTCTTCTTCTCTGAGTTCCACCTTATTCAGAATCTCCAAAATACCCACAAAGATCAATCACGTCAGTGGATTAGAATATTTGATAAAGTGATAGGCATCTGTCTATTCCATCCCTTTAACAACATCTGTATCCTGAGTAACCGCTTCTGCTTCAAGCGAATAAAAGGGATGGTAAAATCGCAATCGGGACAAAACCTAAAAGAAAGGTCATTCTACCTATGGAAGTTAGTAAGGCTATACTTGTTTTTTTTCTGTTTTCCTTTAGATGGCACAGTGTAAAGTTGATAATCCAATTTACAGGTACCGATTTGCCTCAGCCAGCCAGCCAGATGCATATTTGGATTTAAAGATTGTGGAACATATCTTTGTTAGGAACAGTATACAGAGTTGCTTTTATTTGATTTCAATGGAAATTTACAGGTCATTGAAAGAAAGCCATTCTCAGCTACTTGGTAAGGCATATACTAGAAATGTCAAGTTACATATTTGCACCGACGGATGCAGGGGCAGAGGACTGTGGCATGTGCTCCCACCGAGTCACCAAATGGGCCCACTCAAAATGCCAGGAAAGGAGGCTACAGTGATCCAAACATTTAAAAAAAACAAAAACAACAACTTTTAGATACTTATTCTGATGTCCCCACCCCCTCTCACTGTGCGCATTACTTTTTAATGTAATGTAGCAAGGGTCACGTTAAGGAGTACTATTTATCTTATATTCTATATCAAAGAATGCATACCACCCTCTACTCCTGCGAAGCAGATGTCAGTGGGGAGGCCAGTGGGCGGAAGTTAAATTGTGTAGGTCACGCATGTGAATTATAGCACTAGCACTGCCAAAGTGTGCAGAACAACCCTAAGAACAGACAGGTCATCCTGGTGTGAATGCACTATAGGCTGCCTGCCAATAAGCATGCAAGCCCACCGAGGGTAGATAATGCAGGGAGCAAGGTTTTAATACTTACTGCAAGATCCTAGTGCCCTAATGATGCATTTACACTATTCTGTTTGGGGACAGTGCCCCACAGCAGGACTCCAGGGAATAAAATTGGGACGACAGGAAAGGATCCTAAAATTGGAGCTGTCCTGCCAATATCGCTAATTCAATGAGGGTTAATGATGCGTTTGCAGTGAAACATAGTGGAATTACAACTCTGGCAGCATCATTAAATACCTCTAGCTGTGTAAGTGCACATCACTGACATCATCATGGTGCTACAGTAGCCATTTAAGAAGCGATCAAAATTATTGGCCAACTTCTTCATACAATTGCATTGAATAAAGAAGTCAGTTGAAGTATATACACTGCTCAAAAAAATAAAGGGAACACAAAAATAACATCCTAGATCTGAATGTATTAAATATTCTTCTGATATACTTTGTTCTTTACATAGTTGAATGTGCTGACAACAAAATCACACAAAAATTAAAAAATGGAAATCAAAATTTTCAACCAATGGAGGTCTGGATTTGGAGGCTGATCCAACTTTGATGTAATGTCCTTAAAACAAGTCAAAATGAGGCTCAGTAGTGTGTGTGGCCTCCACGTGCCTGTATGACCTCGCTACAACGCCTGTGCATGCTCCTGATGAGGTGGCAGACGCTCTCCTCCCAGACCTGGACTAAAGCATCCGTCAACTCGTGGACAGTCTGTGGTGCAACGTGACGTTGGTGAACGGAGCGAGATATGATGTCCCAGATGTGCTCAATTGGATTCAGGTCTGGGGAACAGGCAGGTCAGTCTATAGCATCAATGCCTTCGTCTTGCAGGAACTGCTGACACACTCCAGCCACATGAGGTCTAGCATTGTCTTGCATTAGGAGGAACCCAGGGCCAACCACACCAGCATATGGTCTCACAAGGGGTCTGAGGATCTCATCTCGGTACCTAATGGCAGTCAGGCTACCTCTGGCAAGCACATGGAGGGCTGTGTGCCCCCTCCTCTCCCCCCTTCCCCACACCATTACTGACACACTGCCAAACTGGTCATGCTGGAGGATGTTGCAGGCAGCAGAACGTTCTCCTCTGCATCTCCAGACTCTGTCACGTCTGTCACATGTGCTCAGTGTGAACCTGCTTTCATCTGTGAAGAGCACAGGGCGCCAGTGGCGAATTTGCCAATCTTGATGTTCTCTGGCAAATGCCAAACGTCCTGCACGGTGTTAGGCGGTAAGCACAACCCCCACCTGTGGATGTCAGGCCCTCATGGAGTCTGTTTCTGACCATTTGAGCAGACACATGCACATTTGTGACGTGCTGGAGGTCATTTTGCAGGACTCTGGCAGTGCTTCTCCTGTTCAAAGTGCTTTGATAAAGACCACAGCGGTCGAAACGCGTCAGTGCAGCTTTGTATAGGAGATTCTGTTTGAGCTGTATTTTATGTTACCAATAAAGATTTTTGTTCCTGTATCTACCTTCCACCTGGCGTTTATCTAAGCTATACAAGAGGAAGTAGCAACTTTACAGTGAGCATCTTGATCTTGTTTCCAGCATTACAGTCTCCAAATTGTTTGGAAAAGGCGCTTATAGTCTGAGCCACTTCTAAACGGCTCAGCACCACATGAGTGGGAGATTTTTTTATCTACTTTTAATCATCTATTATATGCAGGCTATATTATGTTCTGTATTTTATATTTTTACCATGTCAACATAACACTGGAAATTTCAAATGGCTCATCAATTGACTTCACTTCATCTGATTCAAACAGTTTTGTGAAAGATAAAGATGAAAAAAAAATAATTAAAATTCAAATAATTATAGTTGTGTTATTCCAGTCAAGAAGACCTAGGTCACTTATTACAACTCGAATGTTCCTGGAACCTTCAGGAATCAGTCCACCCAGATCTGTTTACTCTACTTCATTGATGGACCCAAATGCAAATTTCCTTTGATCAGCTATGATTTTAGGATTCCATCTGTTCAGACTTGACAGAGTTCTCAGTTGTGGGCTTTCTGAAGGTCCAAATGTCCACATTATCTGCTCTCCAAGAGGAGGGCATTTATTGGCTTACTATAAGAAGCCTTCTCTTGTGGTCCTCCTTTTACACTTCTTTGTGCTAAGGTTGGCTCCTTTGTGTCAGTTAAAGGGGATCTTGTAAAATAAATTTTAAAAATGTAATAAATAAAAAAAGTATATATTTTATATAACTATATTCCAAGGATTTTTGTTTTAATACCTAGCCAACCTGTATTGCTTTCTCTTCTTATTAAAATATTGCTAATTTTGTTTAACCCAATGAATGCCAACATTGGATCATTATAGTTCAGTTGCCTCAATAAAGATTATTCACTCATTTTTAAATCTGGCCTTGAGCAGACATGGAACACACAAAAAAATGGCCTCATTTAACCCCTTAAGGACACATGACATGTCATGATTCCCTTTTATTCCAGAAGTTTGGTCCTTAAGGGGTTAAAATGACTGAAGAGTTCAGTATAAGAATTAATGAGAATAGTAGATTTTACATATATATTTATGAGAGTTCTATCTTAATACTGATTGATCACATGGATCTGATTCTGTTGAGGGTTACAAATGCCTCAATTTTTTTTTTTTATATAAAACTTTGCAATTAATAGTCTGAAATGAAGCAAACTATTCATGTACACATTTTAAAGTCATGGTCCCAGTTGGAAAGAGCAAAGTAAACCTCTTTTATAGTCAACTTGCCCAGGTACACCATATCAGTCCAAGGTTAGGTGAACGGAATCCTTATCTTCAAAACCTGAAGCAAGATTTTAGTACAAGCACTTGTACAGCTCAGCGAGTTAAATATCAGAATAATTCAACTTGTATTACAACTCATTAAGAAGCAAAGGAAAGACACAATCACATGTGCGTTTGTGGTTTTAGAGAAACTGCAATGTTTCTATTGCAGTGTTAAGACTGCCTCTAGTGCAGGCATAGGCAACCTTTAGCACTCCAGATGTTTTGGACTACACCTCCCATGATGCTTTGCCAGCATTATGAGTGCAAGAGCATTATAAAGGGATGTAGTCCACAACATTTGGAGCACCAAAGGTTGTGTATCCCTGCTCTAGTGGCTATCTACCAGACATCCACTAGAGGCACTTTCTGCAGTTTCACAGAGTTTGACTCTGAAACCCTGGGATTCCTCATGCTTTGCAAAAGGAACACTGTAATGGTTTTAGCTTATTGAAGGTTGCAGTGTCTGGAGTCCCATAGCTCCATTCTTCTATTCAGCATTAAACCATTTTAATAATAAAATCATGTGTTAATGCTAAAATGTGAGCCCCTAGCAGCCCAACTACCTGTGCTGCTTTGAGAAATGAGGAAGCATTGGCCTGAGTAACAATGGGTGGCTGTGATTAGTTGAGAGTATCAGCTGCCCATATTCGGCTTGTCCCAGTGCCCATTGCTGGTATGAATTGGTATGGCTAGAAGGAATTGTGAAGTCTCTGCCTTAGCTATACCTGTTGTAGCGGCTGAGCTGTGGGCAGCCAGGGACCCGCATTCAATTTTAAAATGCTTTAAAATGGTTTAACACTGAATTTACGGACAGTGCCAGAGGACTCTGTTCATTATAACCAATTCAATGAGAGGAATTGTTATAGTGCCTACAGTGTCCCTTTAATCATAGTTGCATAATGACTTACAGCAATACCTTAAAATAAACCCCTTCCTCCACTATTCCAATGGGAGTAGCTGGGAAATATCAGGCACTTACTACTCCTAATAAGGGGAAACTCAGGCAGTTAGGTAGGTGGGAGTGTTGGGAACAATTCATATACAACGGAATTCATAAAGGTAATGGGTAATATTGAAGTTTAAGTGAATCACGAAATTCTCAGTCAGTCAGTAGAGGCATCTTTAATTAAACAATCCTGCAGTTTTTTTCCAAACATTAAATTAGCATAAGAAAAAAAACCCTGTAAAAAATTAAATATCACAGCACTATACACACACGCACACATCAGAAAGCTCTGGCATTCAGCAGTTTACAGCATTTTGGTTCAAAACAGATCCGTTGCCAGCATTTAAATACTGTACATTTGCCAGATGCAAGGAATTAAGTCATTCATTTATTTTTAACCCCTTCTGCCCCAACACTAGCTTTACAGTCTATCAGCTTATTAATGAACTCCAGAGCAGCATGATAAGCCTTCAAAGTAAGACCCGTAGGCTAGCCTTTTTTTTTTTACCCCCATGTTCTTACAGAATCTAAAAGACATTCATTGTGAATAGATTCCAACATGGCTAGGTGATCCAGGCTGCTTGGTGCAATCTTGGCACAGCTACCCAAAACATTGTCATGGGCATGCTGCTAATTTTCATGCATTCGGCACGTGAGTAAGCAAAGACAACGCCATAAGGTAAAAAAAGGTATCCCATACCTTTTGCATAACTGTTAGGCTTGTTAAGTAGTATACTGCAGAAGAGAAGGGGTTAAAAGGAGTTAAAACAAAAAAACATTTTGCAGCTTAGTTTGTACATGGTTTAAATAAGATCACGCAGCCTATATCTACTGGCCGTCAACACTCATGCGCTCCTTTTTGCACCTTTTTAAATATTATTTATTTTGCATTATTTAAATCCTTAAATATTACATACACAGAGGATATTACCGCATTAAAGAGGGGCAGGGAGATGGCAATAATTGTCCCCAGGAATAAGTTTCACATTATTAGGAATGTGGGGCAAGGGGGTTTGTAAACATGCCTAGATGTAAGGCAGTGTGTGGCTGAGTGCGGGAAAAGGTACTGGGGTATATTTTGGCCATGTTTGGCGTTTGCGTGGCAGTGTGCTACTTATCTTCACAAATAAACTACACATAGTTTGCTTTATGCAGCAATGATCAGCATTATTCACAAAATGTTCAGTTCTGAAGATTCCATTGATAAAATATAAAGACGTGAGACCTGTTTAAAATGGTAAATACTTCAAGCACAGAGAGGGCACAACCACGACTGGGTACAACACTGGACAATGATACCATAAGCTTTTAACTAGTAGCTACTGAAGGCCTCACTTTACTGAATTTATGGAAAAGCATCTTCTGGTTATTTATATACGCAAAAAAAAATCCTTATTTAATATAATTGCACTAATCAAATGTAAGATTAACAAAGCCTACATATTTCCGTATTTATTTTTACTTTACTGTTCCCGTCAAAGTAGAAATACAAGTTCCCTTTTATTATTTTAGACAGACTATCAGGGTTATTTTTTACATCAAAAAAAGGTGTGCACTTTTTTTTTTTTTTTTTAGATATATGGGTTTTCAGCGTGTATATTTGGGCTATTGCACTTTATAAGGTGTTGCTAATTATAATTTTACATGGAGATATTTTTAGAAAAAAAAGAAAAAAAAAAGGGATTTAAAAGTGCAATTGTTCACTTATTTTTGTATCAGTATTAGGATTATTTGATAAACTAGGAACTGACCAGTGAATAACATTTTATCCCAAAATGATTAAATATTATTAAATAGGCGGGATAGATAATTTTCCAATCCAGAAATTTGGCTTAAAATGTGAAACATAATGGTCCATTTTTCACCGAGTAGTCAATCTTAAGTATATAATAAGATGGTCCTTTTTATATCTGTGCAATATTTCACTATTTTCATAATGTAAAAAAATGTGTGGCGGCATCTATCAAGCGTTTTTCTTTCCATTATTTAGCAAAACACAAAATTAAATGGTTTGCTGCACAAAAGATATGTCTTTAGTGATAAATTAGCTTTTAAAATGAGGTTAATGATATAGTTTTATGAAGCACTATACTCCAAGCACTGTGCAATGGTAATTTCCACGCTCAATTTAATGAAATAGTGGTCAAAGATAACGTGTGAAAGTACCATACCCTTTAATGTAGGTTGAAGCATGACAAACCCCATTAGTCAAGGAACTATAGCTTCTAAAATACAACTAGACAACTCCAAATGTATTACACATTTGATGTAGAACTCCTTAGGGTTGGTCTCAATCTCGCTCATTCTAAAGAGATCGGTACGTCTGACTGTCCCATTAATTTCACCAAATATTTCTCAGCACCAGATATGGGTGCATGAACGTACTTACAGTCTAGGGTAGCCTTTGGCCAAAACATGCATATGGGTAGTATATATTCCATTGAGAAACGTTGATTGTTAGTATATTAGAATAATAATGTCATTTCTTTTTATTTAATAATTTGGGTCCGGCCCAGAAATGTAATAGCTAACTCGAAGTCGCCATACCACCATTTCTCATCTACAGTTTTTTTCCCCTACATTTTTTAGGTACCCATATTGGGTTGTTTACAGACTTGGTGGATATATTTTTTTATACCAAGTATCTTTTGCAACAGTGAAAATAAATAGCTTTTCAAGGAGAGAAAAGGATTGCTTTTTTTTGTTAGACGGTCAGTGAACACTTCACCCCATAGCAGCAAATTTGTCTCCAGCATATGATGTCAGGAGCAACAAAACTAACACCGCAATATACAATGAAAGCGAAAAACACAGATGTTTGAATTCAATTACAATCTTGTTTGGTCTTCGTGTTTACGAGTTGTTCTGTGTTTCATAACATTAAGATATTGCAGAGACCTATGGGACCACCTGGCAGTGGAAAGGACAGGGTCACAAAGGGTTTGTGAATATTAGTGGTAAGTTGGGGAAGGAGGCAGTATGTGCATCTCCCTGCCTCTCTCTAGTTTTTACAATGGTAGTACTAGTCTGTCAACACGGGACTCCGTGATACCAGCTTCCAGAAGTGAAGCCTTGTACTGACTTAGGACACCTTGGATGCTTTTGATGAAGCCCTTTGACAGGGGAAACAGGGGAAAGCCGATGTCAGGGTAGCCTCTCTTATCAGGCAGGAAACTACGATAGCTCTTTCTGCGTTTCTTTGGTTTCACACTGGGCTGTGCTCCCCCAGTTGCACCCTTTGCCTCCTCAGCAGGACTACTGCAAAGCAAAACTCCTTTGCCCATGTTCTCCAAGTCTGAGTATTGCTGGGTATCCCCAGGAGAAAGGGTAGAGGCTCCACAACCTGAATCATCCAAATCCTTTGAACCCAGTGGAGGTTCTGGAGTGCATTCTTGATCAGTGGGGCTGTAAGGAACGATACATGGGTGCTCCTGGCCATTAGGCAGCGCCTTTCTTCTCTCCACCACGGCATTGGTTTCTAGCCAGTTATCTATCCTGCGAGCTAGACGCCAGCCGCTAATCTGAAAGTGCTCCTTAATCTCCTGTTGGAAAACTTCAATAGGTCTGCGTAACAACTGTGTCATAGACTGGACAACTCTGATGAGCGACATTTCATTATAGCAGCGACTGTTCTCATACCCTTCTTGTAAGCCGCGGTCACTGTCGAAACCAGCCTCGTTGTAGTATGGCTCGTTCACTAAAATGAGACCTGTAAGAAGAGAAATGGGGGGTGGGGGGGTTATGCGTATATTTTTACTCTCTATCACTATGCACACACACATCTAACTTATCTCTATCTATATAGGTAGATACATACACACATTATATAAAATATATATTACACACACACCCCTGACTTATCTCTATCTATAGATACATACATCTGTATCTGTAGATACATACACACACTATATGATATATACATATTACATACACACACTATGGACAAAAGTATTGGCACAGGTGTATAAAATCAAGCAACTAGCCATGCAGTCTGCATTTACAAACATTTCTGAAAATATGGGTCGTTCTAAAGAGCTCAGTGAATTCCTTATTGCCACCTTTGCAATAAGTCAGTTTGGGAAATTTCAACCCTGCTAGATATTTCTTACAGTCAACTGTAAGGGGTATTATTGGTAAGTGAAAGTGTTGAAGAACACCAGCAACACGAAGAGGAAGACCAAATAAAGTACTGAGGTGCATGGTGCGTAAAAGTCGCCAGCGCTCTTCTGATTCTGTAGCTGAAGAGTTCGAAACGTCCACTGGCATGAATAACACAAAAACTGTGCAGAAGAAGCTTCATGGAATGGGTTTCCACGGCCAAACAGCTGAACGCAAGACTTACATCAAGTACAATGCTAAGCGTCAGATCGAGTAGTGTAAAGCACAGCTCCACTGGACTCTGGAAAAGTAGAAATGAGTTCTGTGGAATGATGAATCATGCTTCTCTGTTTGGCAGTCTGATGGGCGAGTCTGGGTTTGGTGGATGCCAGGCGAATATTGCTTGACTGCAATGTGCCAACTGTAAAGCTTGGTGGAGGACGGATAATGGCATGGTGCTGTTTTTCAGGGGTTTGGCTAGGCCGTACACTTCTGGGAAAAGGAAATCTTAATACTTTAATATACAAAGACATTTTCAACAATTCTAGGCTCCCAAATTCATGGTAAGTTTGGGGAAGGCACTTTTCTATTCCAGCATGACTGTGACCCAGCAATGCAAGGTCCATAAAGACATGGCTTGATGAGTTTAGCGTGGAAGAACTTGACTGGCCTACACAGAGCCCTGATCTCAACCCCATTGAACACCTTTGGGATGAACTGTAACGGAGATTGCTAATCAGGCCTTCTCGTCCAGCATCAGTGTCTGACCTCAAAAATGGTCTACTAGATGAATGGGCAAAACTTCCCACAGAAACACTACAAAATCTTGTAGAAAGCCTTCCCAGAAGAGTGGAAGGGGTTATAGTTGCAAAGACAGGATCAACTATATATTAATGTCTATGTATTTAGAATGAAATGTCATGACATTCGCTGTTGGTGTAGTAGTCAGGTGTCCAAATACCTTTGTCAATATAGTGTACTATATATCTATTGAGCTCTACATACAGCTTAACTTTTATTCTGGTGCCCCTAAAGACGGACGTAGCTGACAGACGGGAGTCCCATGCATAGATTGGTATCTGGGACTCCATGGTGTGAGCAGGTATTTAACCCTGCTCAGAACAAATCTATAGGAAGTTCCATGCTGTCCTAATTGTGGAAGGTCCTAATGGCGGTAAGGGTAAAGGTGGTAATTTTGATGTAATATTACAATATTTTTCCAATTGTAAAAGCCCCCCAAAAAAAACAACAACAAAAAACGCAGACACCCACCCACCTTGTATAGAGATGAGCACTTGCAGCAGACTGGACTTGCTGGTCCATCTCTCTGTACCCTGCACAGATAGACAATGTTATGTTAAAGTAATTAAAAACACTGGGGTAACAAAGATTAAATGGTTATCGTCTGTACATCATGTGAATAGGACAAAAACACATACAGAAATTATATATTACAAAAGCAAAATCTAAACAACTATAACAACAAAAACGTAATATATATATATATATATATATATATATATATATATATATATATATACACACACACCTACAAAGAAAATATTTAAATACACACACTATATATTATAGTACAAAAAAAAAAGAATTCTTCTACTTTACCATTATTTGTTAAATCTATATACTATTCACATATGGTTTCAATAGGAAAAACTAAAATACAATTCAATTTAAAGGGATACATACAAACTACATCTTAAAGAAGCAAAATATATGCAGTCTCTTTACTTGGGCAATGTAAAATGTGTTTCAAAGAAACAAAAATTTTTACATTTGTTTTGAAACTTTGAGGCACATCTGCCCGTTCAAATTCAGGACTATCGTACACAGTGCAATAATGCCAAAAACAGGCTCAAGCTTGCACAGAAATCATCAATCTTGATTATCTCACAGAATGACTCCTGCATAGAGAATGACTCCTGCATAGAGAATGCCTCTGCACTGGCATAAAAAGCAAGTTATGACAGATCACCCAGTCACTTAGCTCTTTTAGGTGGAGGTGGTGGATGAAGCATCTTATTCAGCGGTCATGGAAACGTCAATACCCTGTAGGAGACCGAGCGCAACCTGGAACTCTAAAATTGGATTGCAGAATTTCCGCGATCCGGTAAAATTTCTCTGAGGCTGTTCACGGTCCCATGACCACCAAACAGAGTGCTATTTTAAGGGGTTAACAGAGGAGGTTGTGAGGCATTGAACAGTACCAACAACCTGAGCGAGCTCCTTGGAAAGCCCTTGTTGAAAGTGACCGGTACTTTCCACCAAAATGTATGAATTCTATTTATTTTCTTCCAAAATTCTTCTACAATCAAAAACACAGGGCAGTATGTTTTGTCTAAACTCTAGAATCAAGTGCTTATCTACGTAAAAATACATTCATAATTGTAGACTCCTCTAGGTACCCGGAGCCTGGGTATAACACTTTAAAACAAATAAATACAAAGCTTGCTCCCCACTCATATAGTGTTCATATAAAAGTAGACTGTGTACAGACCACCACATGGTAGGATACATGGATAAGTGGCTCTGAGTACCAATAAGATGCAGCTTACCTTTCCAATCCAGGTTCCTAGCAAGCTGACACACACCTTCCCATTGTCATACAGATTTGGGTTCAGCCTCCCACTGCACTGGGAAAGATAACGGAAAAGTGGTGGCACCGCAGGGTAGATATTGGGTAACTGAATGTCAAAGAGGAAAAGGCCATCTTCATAAGGTGTCCGATTGGGGCCTTTGATTAATGCAGAGAAGAGGTCCTATATGGAGGGGAAAAATATACATACAAATTGGACTATTTTCTGTATTTGCTTCTACAGGGTGTGATCTCATAGTGTAACACTGAATGCACACAGCATACTTTACACATGCAGACGCAGAATGCTTGAAATAAAATACATTCAATTGGAAACTGCTAAATGTAAACCGTTCCATTTTTCAGGAAGGATGCAGAGGCAGTATCTATGCCCTGATATCACTTTAATGATTTTTTTGGTACCCTTTAAGCTTCAAATAGTAAATTTTTTCCCTGAGTTGCTAGGCCCATTTATCAATAATTCATTCACAAACATATCATTAATCATATTAAAAGGAACACTATAGGGTCAGGAACACAAACGTGTATTCCTGACCCTTGTGGTAAAACCACCATCTAGCCCCCTGGCCTCACTAAATTTAGCAAAATCATACATTTATTCCAGTCTGCTTCTGCTGGCTCTGCCCCTTACCTGCCTGCTTTGCTGACATCATCGGAAGTGGAGATCTGAGCCAATCACAATGCTTTCACATTGGAATGGCTGAGACTGTGAAGGAGGCAGATCAGGGACAGAGCCAGTACAAGTCAAACACATCCCTGGCCAATCAGCATCTCCTTATAGAGTTGCATTGAATCAATGCATCTAGATGAGGAAAGTTCTCCATGCAGAGACTCTGAATGCAGTGCTGCACCTTTAATATTCGCTGTAAAAAGGTGACCGTTTAGCAGAGGAATTTGAAATTACATAATCTAATGAAAGACGCAGGAAGGCGTCTTCATTTTTGATTATTTCTTTTAAGTCGTAAAAAGAGCACAGCAATTTATAGTCTGTACAATTACACAAGCTCCAAAAAATATTTGGAATGTTATTATGATACAAACTTCCATTCCTATTTTTTTCCATTCTTATATCAATGTTTAACAGCCATTGGTAAAAACACCCACGAAATGGGGGAGCATATGCAGTAAAAAAAAAAAAAAAAAAAAAGACAGATTTAATATATTTTTGATACAGAACACCCACTGTAGTTGGTAATTTAGGTGACAAATCAAGATCTAAAGTTATTTACGGAATATCTTATTACCTGAAATAGGGTTTTCGCAAACTATGTTACTAGAACTTATGTGACATTGTTAAAGTTGTAATGCACAGCTTGTGACAATTGTAGAGACTATTTTCAGACTCTGCTATGTCCTACTGCTAGGCAAAGTGTAATTAATATGATTTCTAATTTAAAAAAAAAAAAAAAAATCAACTTTATTTGGTCCAAGGCACAGAATCCTCACATTATCATACATTCAAATATGTTTGGGCATCCAGTAGTTCAAAGGATGGTGGTGTTTACTGGATCAAAGTGAGCACACAATGTTTCGACCTCACTAGGAGATCGTTGTCAAGTGTTGACAAAGACCTTACGGTGAAGTTGAAACATTGTGTGCTCACTTTAATCCAACGAACATTACCATGCTTTGATTTGCTGGGTGCCCTACTTGCTCTACGTGCTGACTAAATAAAGATATACATCCAGAGTCTTTCTAAAACTCTATATATCATCCTGGAAATCAGAAACAATTTCAGGGGGTCCTAATAGTATTTACCATCCTATCTTCAAATGTTTTCACCATGATTCCATCAGGAAGGGATGTGGCAAGGAGTGCCATCTCTTTGCGTACAGTGCTAAAGAACTTCTTAGCTTCAGCTGGCTGGAATTCCACCTTTTTGAATGCATGACTTTCTAGAAGGATAGAGTATTGGAGAAACATTTCAAGTGAAACTGTCACCTCTCTGGAAAATACACCATCAAAATAAACATTGGAAGACAACTATAACTTCCTGCACGGTTTTCTTCTAACATTATTTTGGGATCTAACAAATTACATCACAATAAAGTTCAGATAAGGCGAAAATTGCCAACTAGGAAAAGATAGAAACTTTAATTTCTCCTTGTCCCTGCATGCCTTTTCTAGAATGTCTACCAGGTGCATAAATTATTCAGATTGGAATTTAAGAGCCTTGGTTTAAACTCAGAGGATATATGTGTGCACACACAGTAAAAAATGTGTGCACAATAGTAAACCAAAATCTAGAAAGATAACAGACAGGGTGCTACAATGGAGGTGGCCCAGTTGCATGGCAAAAAGGTGTGGATTTCTACATGAAAGGACCACAAAAAGCACTCCGATTACTTCATCTCAATATGGTGGAGTAGTCATTTAGTGTTAACCCTTCAATGTATAATATTACCATTTAGTAGATATGGCAATGCTTACATTACAGGGTTTAACACGACTTTCTGACAGCCACTAGTGGTGGTTGTACTGTGAGAATAGAACCAAACTCGGCTCTCATAGCTAGCCTCCATTTCGCTGGAGGAGCACAGCACTAGGTGCTTTTCAAACTCAATGCTCCTCTATGAGAAGCATTGGAAATGAAAAGAGAAGAGTTGGTGTGATGTTATAGGATGCCTATCGATTGCCTGCAAGATCTGGACCCCAAGGGCAGAGTATAGAATATTTGCTAGAGTCCTAACCTCAACATCTGAGGAAAGGGATTTAGGGGTGATTATTTCTGATGACTTAAAGCTAGGCAGACAGTGTAATAGAGCAGCAGGAAATGCTAGTAGAATGCTTGGTTGTATGGGGAGAGGTATTAGCAGTAGAAAGACGGAAGTGCTAATGCCATTGTACAGAACACTGGTGAGACCTCTCGGAGTATTGTACACAGTACTGGAGACCGTATCTTCAGAAGGATATTGATACCTTAGAGAGCGTTCAGAGAAGGGCTACTAAACTGGTTTATGGATTACAGGATAAAACTTACAACGAATGGTTAAAGGAACTTAATATGTATAGCTTGGAGGAAAGACGAGACAGGGGGAATATGATAGAAACATTTAAATATATAAAGGGAATCAACACAGTAAAGGAGGAGACTATATTTAAAAGAATAAAAACTACCACAACAAGAGGACAGTCTTAAATTGTGTGACAAAGGTTTAAAAATAATATCAGGAAGTATTACTTTACGGAGAGGGTAGTGGATGCATGGAATAGCCTTCCAGTTGAAGTGGTAGAGGTTAACACAGTAAAGGAGTTTAAGCATGCATGGGATATGCATAAGGCTATCCTAACTATAAGATAAGGCCAGGGACTAATGAAAGTATTTAGAAAACTGGGCAGACTAGATGGACCGAATGGTTCTTATCGGTCGTCACATTCTATGTTTCTATGCTGAATTTTAAGTAAAATAGTAAAGTACAACCCCCTTTTTCCAAATATTATTGAGATTTGGGGTGAGGAACCTTAAACTAAATGCAAAGGACAAAGTGTCAGTTGGGAAACATAAGAGTTAAATATATGAATCCGTAAATATAATATTAGAAATCCTAAAAATGTATACTTCCCCCTACAGTTAATTATTTTATAACAAACTTCTAATTACAACATTTTCATGTAGCAGGATATTAGAAAAAGTCAGCGGAAGGCTGCCAACTTGTACTGGTGATGGTTTGGAGAGAATCATGAGATCTAATCCAATTATACCTATATATTATAAATACAATAGCAGATTGCATGTATGTGACATTCAATTTGTTTATTCCATAGTACAGTATACCAGGCAGACATAAGGCAAGCTAGTGTTGGTTTGCATGAAAGATGGAATCAATCATTCATTCTATTTAAACAGTACACTGGTAACAGCCTCATAGGACATACATACAGCTTATACTAGGAGGAATGGTGTAACTGATAACCACTGACAAGGCGCTGTTCTTGCAGGATAAGGCACAAGTTTTTTTCTTTTTCTTTTTATTGACAGTTTACTTCTACGTACACACAAAATGTGTTGTTTTTTTTTAAATGGGTGTTTCACACCCTCGTTGAACATAGCACCAAGTATATATTTGTTTTATAACATGGTTCTTGCGATCTATATCATTTTACTAGGCTATTTAGTTGTGCTAAAATCTGACGTGACCGTGCCTGTGGTTATTTATCCTATGTGCTACTTCAACCATTTAATTTTTTCCCCCAACGACATGCTCACCTGGTGCAGAGTCTAACACAGAAAACACCTCTCCCTTGGCACTGGTGAAAATTACTCCTGGCTTCCCACCACTCTGCTGGCACAGTACAGGTGTATCGCTTGGCCACTCCGACCGAACAGGTGTCTGTGCCTCGGCTTTATCTTCTTTATCTCCCTCAGCTGCCAACTCCATCTTCTCTTCTTCTACAATGGCAACATTGTCCAGTGTCTTCTTGAGATTCTCCTGCAGTTTCTTGATGTCATCCAGGAACTTCTTCTCTCGGGTGAACTTTTCTGGTTCAGCAGTGGGAGACGTTGGGGATCCAGACAAAAGCTGCTCCACTGTCATATTCTTTAGACTCTCCAAGATTTTCATAGCCTCCTTCAGCTCCTTAAAGCTTTTGATAATGCCTTCTTTCTCGTTCATTTTCACAGTCAGCTCACGTATACGGAGGGCAGTGGCTACAGCTGATGCAGAGCTCTGCTCTGGTTCTTCTTCTTTAGTGTCTGGTGCTGCCTCTGCAGCTAGGCACTGGCTTGGGGTTTCAGTTGCCTCATCTGCTAGTGTTCGACTATATTCATCCTCTGTCAATCCATTGTCCGTCTCCCAGCTATCACTATCATCCTCCCACTCATCAGAAGAGGCACCACTAGAGCTGCTGTCTACAGAATCATAGTAAGATTCCTCTAATTCAGACTCCACATTGTACAGGTGCTGGAAGCAGAACCAAAAACATTATGAGCACTTAAGTGGATCAAGATTGCTTTTTCAGACTGGAATCTGCAAAAATGTATGAACATTTATTATCACTGTAGCCAATCTCCAGAAAACTAGACAGAACAAATCTAAAGGCTTGCCAGCGGACCATGCAGTAGAACTTCGGCAGTAGCCTTGTTAGGCCAATCTACAATTGAGCTAAGCAGGGTATTGGAATGTAGACAAGCAAGTAAGAAGGTTGGAAGACAAACAAGGGAAGATGGGATTATGCCAGGCCCGGACTGGCCATCGGGCATACCGGGCATTTGGTGGGCTGCTATGGCCTGCAGGGGAGATCACAGGATCTCCCCTGTCGGCGCTATCCGAGCGCCGGCCCCGCTGTGTGCCTCCATGGGCCGGTGGGGAGAACAAAGATCTCCCTCACCGGCCCACAGGCAGTTACAAGCTGCCGCCGGGTTCCTCTCGCGGGATTCTGAGCATTGCCACGGTTACCACGGCAATGCTCAGATCTCGCGAGAGTGAACTCTAGCCCTGCATGCTAGAGTTCACTCTCACCACCATGGCAGCACAGCCCCCCCCCCCACCCAGGCTAAAGGTAAGAAGGGAGGGGGGGAGGATATAACTTTATTTTTATTTATTTTTTTAATAAAAATTAAAAAGACATACCGGTTTTTAAATAGACATTCACTCACAGTACACTCAGACCCTCCTAGCACACACACACACACACACACACACACACAGCACCCCCCCCCACCCCCACACACACACCACCCTCACACCAAACCCTCTCACATTATATAAATTAACCCTAAGTGAGTTAACAGACAAAGAGAGTTAGAATAATTGCACCCTCACTCACACACACCACCCTCACTCACACAACACACACACACACACACACACACACACACAATACATATTTATTGTATAAATTAACCCTAAGTGAGTTAACAGACAAAGACATTTAGAATAATTGAATGTGACGGCAGATAAGAACACCTTCACACACACCACATAATACGTGCCCCTCATCCAAACATAAAATATACACTCTGAATCCTCCACACACACACACACACACACACTCTGGGTCCTTTACACACTAGATCTCCTACACACACACACACACACACACACACACACACACACACTGCACCACCTACACATACTACATTCTTGACATACAAACTCTGGATCCTCTATGCACACACTACATTCCTTGTAAGCAAACACATACAACATTCTCTAAACACACTACAACCCCTACACACACTTTGTCACCTATATACACACACACACACACACTATAGCCCGTATGCACACACTCACTACATCCTCTATACACACTATGCCCCCTATACACACACTCTCTACAGCCCCTAGCCACACATATTACATCACAAACACGAATGAAATTGACCTATTTGCACAATACCACACCACAATCAACTCACTCTACATGCACGCAATTCCACAAGCAGGCTCCCAACACATGCACCATACGCTTTCCTGGCCCTTTTGTCCTCTGGTATCCCACTTATAGAGACACCAGAGACAAGTTAAAAGCAAACACACCGTAAGCATGTTATTAAATTTGCTTGCGCTGCACAGAACAAATGCAGTGCCTTTTTCTCACAATACACTGTGACATTGAACCAACATGCTCACTTTGAGAGGGGGCATGCTTGTCACTAGTCATGACAAAACACACTCTCTCTGGCACCGTCCCCTTCTCAGGGGGCCACTGTGATTGAAAAATGCCGGGGCCAAATTCTTTTCTCAGTCTGGCCCTGGATTATGCCAAAAGGCAGAGCCATCAGGGGGGAAAACTATAACGGTTGTCACGCACTTAGGGCCACTCGATGGGCCCTATATCTTCAGGGGCCCGGTCAGCGCTGTGGCCATGTAAAAGCACGACCGGGCCCTTTTTAAAAAATACGCAGCCACAGCAAGTGGGCTGCATGTCATTATGAATGTGTGTATGTATGGATGCCAGTGTCTGTATGCATGTCTGTCTGTATGTATGAATGTATGTATGTATGCCAGTATGAATGTATGTCTGTCTGTCATTATGAATGAATGTATGTATATGTATGTGTGTATAGATGTCAGTGTCTGTATGCCAGTATGAATGTCTGTCTGTCTGCCATTATGAATGTGTCTGTATGTATGTTAGTATGTGTCTGTCTGTCACTATGTATGCCTGTATGTCTCAGTATGTGTGTGTCGTTATGTATGCCTATATGCGTATCAGTATGTGTGTATCTGTGTCCTTTTGTATCAGTGAATGTGTTTGTGTCTATGTGTGTATTCCTGTGGGCGGGATTTGGAGGCGGTCCCTGTGGGCGATTTTGGAGGCGGGCCGCCAGTGGCCCAGACCCTAGCTCAGTTAGGGCCCCCAAAATTTCTGGTGGCGGCCCTGCCAAAAGGCAAAAGAAAGTGATAGAAATGTAGAGCAAATAGGTATAGAGAAGCATGCTTCACTTACGGCAAGGTCTTTAAATGCATATTTATATATTGGTGGCCATTACCACTGACAAATGAGAGAGTGGGGCACAGACTGTTCAAAAGCCCATAGATATGGAATAAATCTGCTAGTCAGCCATCGGCTATTATTTACTGTATATTAAATGCAACAACATACAGTCTGCATACCACCAAGACAAGCTGACAGACTTATAGGGGAGGGAGATCATACATATAGATAAGCATGGAAACTTAAAAGGAACAATCTAAGAACCACATCTATAGTTCGCTGTAGTGGTTATGGTGCCAGGGGTGCCCTGGTGCCCTTTCAGGGAGAATAGTGAAGAGATTTACAAGCAGTCTGACAACTTACCTGGGGTCTGCCAGGCACAATCAACCTTCCATTAGCACCATTGTGCCAAGCCATCCACTACTGAGCTTAGCTCAATGCAGGAAGCTTCCAGACGTACATCGCAGAACACAGGTAAACTGTCAATACATCTGCAAACTGTTTACTTACAGTGGGTACTAGCAGACTCTTGGCACCATAACCAATACAGCAGGCTGTAGTGATTTTAAGGTTTAGAGTGCTCATTAAAAATAAAATAAAAAGTTATTCACATTATTAACATAATTAACTTTTATATCTTGTACAAAGTTTTTTTTTCTCTTCTATACAAAGCTATACACAGATTTTTGCTCTAACTTCCTAACCCTTTCCTGCCCTGTTTTGTTTCCCCATCAGTAAAGACTGCTATTAAAGATACACTACAGGCAGCTAAACAAGTTAAGCTTAAATTAAAGCTAATAAGCTCCAAATACCGGTGATCAATTCTGTGTAGTTTTACTGCAGTGTTTCTGTCATCCAACCTCACTAACCAGTATTAATCCCTCCCCGGTCGAGAGAGAGAGAGAGAGAGAGAGAGAGAAAGAGAGAGAGAGAGAGAGAGAGAGAGAGAGAGAGAGAGAGAGAGAGAGAGAGAGAGAGAGAGAGAGAGAGAGAGAGAGATATATTGTGGGATCGTGAAGAACTTGGGTCTCGTGGTGGATTATAATCTCTCCAGAAAAAGTTGACAACATAAAATTGTAAACCACATGACCTAGTTTAGTGGGTGAACTGGATTCACAGGACAAGACGTATATCGTTACCTGTGGAAGAACAATTGACCGTGTATTATCTGGCCAGATTACTTCTACTTTGCTGCTGACGTCCACTTTAGCAACCTGTCCAATAGAGGGCTGCAAGACATAAGGGTTGAGTGAATTGATGCTGGGGTAATCAGCAGATGATCCATATTAATAGAAAAGGAGTTGTCTAAGGATGGTTGAGCAGCATGTGATTTAAATTCTACAACTGAAGATCTAACAAATGTCTGCTGTCACTACTTTACAAAATAAGCAGTTTTCTTTGCGTAATCCACACTTGCATCTCTCTGGCGATGCAAGTGTTGATTAAGCAAAGAAAATGATTATTTTGTAGTTTCATGGAAATATTTTAGCCACCTAGAGTATGGTTGGATAGTCTACATCTGTCCATAAAGGGTCTATCAAATTCCACCATGTCTTCAGTCTTCAAAAGATCCATCCCCAAAAGATGAGCTTAATATCAAATAATACTGAGATCATCATCACAACACCTATACATACACAAAAAAAATAAAAAAAGAAAGAAAGGTCTCACCTTGCTGACATCTTGAAAGGCAGCTAGCTCAGAGTATCCAATAAATATCACAATGTCTGTTGATCGAAAGCGGAAGTCTGGGTGGTCAGCAATATCATATACACTCACATCCTCTTCTTCCCCAACAATCTGAAGAAGTTGAAATATAAGAGATACCACAAACACATCACACCTAAAGGCACTACAAGTAATATTCTAGCGAAGATAGAAAAAAAACCAAACACATACCAGCCCTGTCAAGTTAAGGACCAAGGATTAGGTAAATCTCTTTTAAGGGAATAATGTTAAATTAGGCTAAGGACGTAATTTCAATTGCATTCTCCTAATAAACACTTTTTGTGTACAGTATGTAAACCTTCTTTAACATGCAAGAAAAAGGTAGCAACTAATACAAGCTAATGAAAACTACACTATATGGAGAATAGTATTGTTACACCTGGGACATTTACGACATTGCATTCTAAATACATAAATATTAATATGCAGTTGGTCCACTCTTTGCAGCTATAATAAGTTCAACTCTTCCGAGAAAGTTTCCCACAAGATTTTGGAGTGTTTCAGTGGGACATTTTGCACATTCATCCAGTAGAACATTTTTTAGGTGAGGCACTGATGTTGAAAGAAGACTTGGCTAGCAGTCTCCATTCCAATTCATCCTAAAGATGTTTAATGGGGTAGAAGTCATGGATCTGTGTGGGCCAGTCAAATTCTTCCACACCAAACTCATCCAACTATATCTTTATAGACTTTGCTTTTTGCACTGGGGCAGTCATGCTGGAATAGAAAAACTGTTCCGCATTTCTGATGATGTCACTCAAGCAGGCAGATCAGGGCAGAGCCAGCAGCAGGAGACTGGAATAGAGTAAAATTTTACTATATTTAGGGAGGGCAAGGGGGGCCAGATGGTGTTTTTAACACTATAGAGTCAGGAATACAGGTATGTGTTCCTGACCCTATAGTGTTCCTTTAAAGCCTTTTTCTACAGCCCTTTTCTGCATATTTGGAATAGAAACATGCAAAGCTAAAATGACAGCAGATACTAAACTGAATGGTACAAAAAGACAGAAAGGACTGAACAAAGGGATCAAACCACCTCTACATCATTCTCGTCAGGATTCTGTTTGACCCATTTTACGACACAAGTACGTCCTGTGTGATCTCCAGACTGGACCACTCCATATACACTGGGATCCTGAGAAGCATGTGCTATAAATGGGAAAGAAAATACATGGTAAATAAGACCAATTGTGTCTAGCTCTCAAAAAAAAGGAACAGAAATATATATAGATATGTATAAATTCAGATTACTTTATAGCCAATATTTGGCAATTCTTTTGGGAAAAAAAATAAATAAATAAAATTCCCAGTTCAATAAATAAATGTAATTTGCTGTCCAACGTGTATGGTCACTTACAATGTTGCATTGCCAACTGAACCAGAAAACAAGAGCTTAGGTTATCCCAGTGACTACTAACCTCTTTTATCAACCACAAAGTCTCCAGGGCAAAACTCATTGTTATCCAAGTGTTGAATAGGCAGTAGGTCATTGGACCGGATATTTGTCTCCAAACTGCCATCCTGCCACATAACGTCCGCTGTAGTTACGGTAGTAATTACTTCTACAGCCACCCTGTTAAGGAATGAATATGTCAAAAAACACAAAAAAAAAACAAAAAAAAAACTATATGTACATTGTTTCAATAAGGGAGAATTGGGTCATAACACAATGAGAAGGACCAGAGACATTGTGGCCTTAGGCTTGTAATGAATGCATTTTAGGCCTATGCATATCACTGCATCCAGCACGCAATATGCTTGGTGTTTCCATAGACCTAAAAGGTATGCCCTAAGGATATGACTGTTTGCTGGCACATGGTCCCTGCCTGCATTGGGAGATGGAAGCTCCTGCATGGTGTTTGTTAGCTCTCTTGTGATTAACTGTGCAGCGCCAGCTCATTGGCCTGAGGCTGTAAATGAATAAAGTGGCCGGGTCCACTACTAGGGCTGCAACATCTAATTTCTGTATGTAGACGGCTGCACTCACAATATTTTAATAAAAAATAACTTTTAATCCAAAGTGATTAAAATCAGGATCAAAATTTCAGTCCCAAATAGAGACTTTCTTCAGGATCATAATTATTAAACCTATTGCTAAATGTAGATACATAAATGAATTGTCTGACCAGCTTAATTCCGGACAACAGATTATAGAGATTACATGACTTTTTTCCTAGTTTGGCTACTATAATAAATTTGAAATTTACTTTGACTTTTCACTTTAGCATATAACCATGTATAAGTTGTAGATGATCCAGCTGTCATGGTCCATATTGGTACCGATGAAAAAGTCAGAGGAAAATGAGTTGTCCTAAAGAGGGAGTTAAGGGAATTGGGAATAAAACGGATCTCCAAGGTAGTATTTTCAGAGATATTACCTGTGACGTGCTACAGTAGAAGGCAGCAAAAGATTAGAGATTAATGCATGGCTAAAATTGTGGTGTACGAAGGACGGTTTGGGCTTTTTAGAGTACTGGGTTGATTTTGCACTTGGGTACATTCTCTAGAGCCGTAATGTAGTACACCTAAACAGTGGAAGGCCTGGTGTGCTGGGGACAGGATGGCTAGAAAGGGTACCAATTTCGTTTTTTTAAATTCTTTATTTTGTTCAGCTCATTGGCATGTGAGATATAAGCTTGTAAGGTACATAATGACATATAGATTAAGACAGTTACCTGTCAAGCAGAGCTGGTGTGCCAATGAACAGGGGTTTTTGTGGATATATAGAGTAGGAACTTTAGGCATATTTAACCGAGCAAACTCAGGCTATCCGAGAGAGTGCAGCATGTAAACGCCCATTAAAGATAGTCGCGAGCCGCTTGGGTGCGCGAGTGCGTTTGCTATTAGAGTAGCCGGGAGCTCTAAAAACTAAGAACAGATGTAAACAGAGTTTAAGAAATATAAGGAACCATTTGCATTGTTTATTCCTTCAGTCCAGTTATGGCTTGTGCCGCTCGGTTAGTGAGAGCTGGACTGATGGCAGATGGGTACGTTAGTTTTACGCCTCTGGGTCATTGTGTGTTCTGTCTCGCAGTCAGACTCTAATAAAGAGGCGGGGGAGAGGTGTGATGGGAGTGAGCGTAGGACTTATCTTTTTGTATTTGTATTCACTTTTTGTATCACACAGCTTTGTTACAATTCTGCCACCCATCCCATGTGTTCCCTATTAAGGCTTAATAAGTATACATGGGTGTATATAAAAAATACCCCTCTCTGTCTCAGTAGAGATGTCTTTGCAAGAAGCTCAAGGAAGCAAAGTGAAGGGTCAGAGTAGGACCCGTGAATGGGGGTCTGCCTTGACGTTGGCAGATGGGCATTCCCTCCAATGGCCATTGGAGTAACTTAATGACCTCCATTTGTTTAAATATACATAGGGATTAAGGAGAGAAAGCGCAGGTAATTTTTTCTTTGGTTTTTAGCATATGTATTGGAGCTGATGTGTACTGTGGTCGTTGCTGCCGCCCAGGAGTGATGGGAGTGAGCGCAGGACTTCTCTTTTTGTATTTAAAAAAAAAAAATACCAGTGATGGAGGAAGTGGCTGCTCAGTGAACAATGTTATGTAATTAAGGAGAGTTTTCAATTAGTTTTTTTCCCCCTCAACACACAAAAACAACAAAAAACAGCAGGGAGATAATGATTCTAAACACCAACAGAAACCCTGTTAAACGTCTATATGTTACAGCATTCCTGTAGAGTGGGGTACACGTGTTTATAATTAAAAATCAAAACCTTCCAACACAAACTTCTTCACCAACAATTGCTTCCTACTGCTCCATTTTACAAAGCCTTTTGCTGGATTTCGATTTCATGACGAATAATTTTAAACATTTTACCTCGACATAACAAAGCTCCTCAAAATCTCTACAATTCTGTCTTTGTTACTAGTTACTACACAACTCAGCTTCTGCGTTCTTTCCAAGACTGCTTATCAAATCCTCCATCTCATGCGAATTCCCCTCCTCCCCATTCCCCAAACGGCTGGCATCTGTGGGGTGCCTTTAGGAGGTGAACTCAGACCTCCTCTTTAAAATGCTCAATTCATTTCTTTGAAAGACTTGTAATATCATTCATCTCTAATCGCAGACCTCACATGTTCACATTTCAGTGACTTAGAAATTTGTTAGTTGCAATGTCAATTATAAGAATTTTCACAAAGCTTTCGTATTTTCCTCCTGAGCAGCTTAATACTTAAAAATGAACACAAGTAAATATTCCTGGCCTAATAATTGTATACTATAGTTAATAAATTAAACAAAGCTATACTTCAGGACCTAGCTCCCCCTCCTATCCTTTGTAACTATAAATATACATACATGCTAGGAAAATGTGAAGAGTTTAATGGGTATATCGTTCGCTCTCAGCATCTTATATGAGAAATGAAACTCTTGTCTAAGCTGAAAGCAGCAGTACCACGGCTGCTATTAGCTTACTGCTGGCTCCATTCAAAGTAGTTTGCACATCAATATGCATGCTCGCAGCTCCCTTACAGTAAGCTATGAATGAAGGGCAAGGATGAGGAATTGTAGATGCAGTATGTTTCTTTCAAAGTCACTGTAGTTCTGGGCATCGTTTTGCAGTAACACTGATTATCTACTTTCACAACAACCTATGCATGAATGATATGTTTGTTTGGTATTGGAGGGTCCTTTTGACTTAACATTTACACCAATCCGTGAAGCCAATTTAGATTATATCATCTATCATATCTGCTCAAAACAAGCTGTCTACTGACATCATCAGAAGTCGTAGCCTGATCCAATCACAATGCTTCCCCATAGGATTGGCTGAGACTGACCAAGAGGCAGATCATGGGCAGAGCCAGCATGATTCAAACAGAGCCCTGGCCAATCAGCATCTCCTCATAGAGATGAATTGAATCAATGAATCTCTATGAGGAAAGTTCAGTGTCTGCATGCAGAGGGTGGAGATACTGAATGTTTGGATGCATTTTAGGAAGCTATGACCCAGGAAGGATCTCTAACAGCTATCCGAGGAGTGACCAGTGAAGTTATCACTATGCTGTAATGTAAACATTGCATTTTCTCTGAAAAGACAGTGTTTACAGCAAAAAGCCTGAAGGTAATGATTCTACTCACCAGAACAAATTCAATAAGCTGTAGTTGTTCTGGTGACTATAGTGAACCTTTAAGTTTTTTTTGTAAATAGAGCCTGTTCATGCAGCCAGACTCCCTATTACAGTCCAGCAATATTTGCAGGATCGACACTCAGGGTCCTCACATGATGTGTTGAAAAAACAGATGCACTAATACAATGCATTTTGAAAAGGGTGCTCACTGTAGCACATAAGCAGTAGGTCCCCGAATGCTTCTCTGTGGAGAAACATTGGATTGGATCAGATCATCAGTTATGATCTCAGCCAGAGATCGGGAAGCAACCGTAGTGAAGGATAACACGTTTTTGGTTTATGGTTACAAGAGGGGCCCTACATGAAACAGTTCTAAAGGAACTCTGCTGGAAATAAATTTGAATTTCTTATGTTAGAGTGGTCCTTTTAAGAACTCACAATGTGTAAACCAAAATGTTGATGCAGTCTATTCACACATATCTGAATATTTTACACATGAAAAAGACCTCATGAGTTTACGACGCTATGTTTTACATCGATTTTACACACAAATTAGAACTTAACTACATTTTCTAACAACATTTCTAACCTGTCTCCTGGTTTGAATGCTCTGTAGACTTTGCTTTTTTTCTTCTTCTTATGCTTCCTCTTAAGGTTTCGTATAGACAGTGGAATACTTTTCTTGCGCCCTGTACCACTGCCACTTTGGGACGAGGTTGTTGAGCTTGCTGAGGAAGTCACGGAGCTAGTGTCATCAGTATCTCCATTAGCATCATCATCTACGTCCAACTCCGTAGAGTGCACCTGGAAATCGTGGAATACCTCTCGGAAGGTACCCAGGGGTAGATCTTTTCCAGAACACTCGTTAGAATTGGGCAACTCTGGAACTTCTTCAACCTGCTCACTGGAAGCTTCTCCTCCCTCTGCACCTTTTAAATATAACTGCAACACTGGAAGTGTTGCAGAGTTTCTTTTCAGAAGCTCAGATTGGCTGGAAGGCTCCTGAGTGCATGAGATTATCTTTACAATCTGCTTTTCTCTCAACTTGTCCACCTGCTAGGAAAGAAAATTGTAAAAGGTTGTGTATAACGAAAACATAAAAAAATAAAAAAAATAATAAGACATACAATAAAATACCACTTTCATATGCTTAAAGACACAACTATATGAATAGCAATCAGAAAATTCAGTCTAAATAATAAAATAGTTGTAGTATCGTCATAAAGAATCACCAACAGTTCAGAATTTTGGTATTAAAGAAGAGGGTGCACAAAAGGTAGTTCCCCAGTTTTTGGAGAACTAGAAATACCACCATGAAGCTCTGGCAGTGTTAAAGCCATAAGGGCAACATGGAAATTTTAGTTCTGCAATAGCTGGGAACTACCATTTGGAGAACCAGGGAGTCGACAATTTCATCAAAATGTGGATATTGGTACTCCATGAGGTTTGAGGTGTAGTGTTTAGGTACAATGTAATGGTAGACTATTGGGTATGGGCACTACAATAATCATTAGCTAGAAAACCTGTTACATTATAACAATGACACATTTGTGACTGCATCACAGAATGTAAAATGTTCATTTTGTACACATTTTATATTCTAGATTATAAGCCCATGACACGAATGGTATGTCAACATTTATATTGTCAGTTAATTGCCATTATTGACTGCAACTTACTACTGAATTAGGTTGCTCTATAACTGCCAACAACTAGAGGATGGCTGATACATTAGAACCATGCCAACTAGCATATGCTATGGTCATTACCCCCACAGGAAAAAATATATATATAAAAAAATAATTTGTAGCATGACAGAACTACAGGATATCCCTTTACCAATGCTTGCAAAAGAGAAAGCCTTAGCCATTACCTTTCTGGAGACATTTACTTCCCCCAATAGACAGTTCTTCTCAAGGCTCTCACAAAGAATTTTTGTTGGCTCCACTTTGGTTGGGAAGATATACAGACACCTTTCTCCTAATGGCCTTTGAGTGTGGTCAAATGAGCCCAGTCTCTTAACCCTGGAGAGAAAAAAAATAAAATAAAAAAAAAATGATATATATACACATACACACACACACACACACTTCATTACCTTCAAAATGGTCTTATTTTTCTGTGGTTTATCAGTTTAATTTATCCCAACAAGACAAGTCAAACTGTGTTCCACTGAACCTATTTAAAGTGACCCTGTTACGATAGGTTTACTTTAACAGATAACAGCTCCCAGGGTGCTTACCTGCTGCCCCTTGCTACAGCACTGCCATTTCAAAGGACATTTGGCTGTTACAGTGCTGTAACACCCACCCTCTGTTGCTGCCCAATATGATGTAATTGGCCTGATGATTGGACACATCCCCAAGTAGGACAATGTTCTGTATGGTCATACCAAACAAGCTTCAAACACTGCTATTCCAACATCAGGGAATAGGTGGAGGGGTAAATAACACTTCTCATTTACTCATTAGCGGTACAGAGATTAATGCAGACTTCAACAAAACTTTTAAACACCATTATTTTAGAAATATGAGCTAAATGTACTGACTACATATTAAAATGCAGACTTTTTTTTTTTTTAAACACAATTTATTTTGCCATTTATAGAAAGCTGAACATTTAGCTCATAACATCATCAAGCTCCTTACAAATAACCATCAGGAGCATACCTGATTATTTGTCACAAAGATAGGTGATTTTCAATGTTTTATTCAGGGGGCGTAAAGTGGTTCCTCTAATCTTTTAAGTTCCCAGAAACCATAATACATATGAAATTGGGAATAGGTCGGGGGGGAAAAAAAACAAACCCACAAGATACATGTTTTGCAGCTCATCTCAGCACCGTCTAGAACCCCAACTTGTGCGTCCCAGGCTGTGTTTTTGCAATGTTGGGAAGTATGCAGTAATTATGGACATATAGATCTAAACATTTCAAAGTAATGAAATATGTTGCAATGTACTGAATGTTATTAGGTGGATTAAAATTGATCCCCCTCCATTTGAATTTTTACATTTGTATTGCTACCCTAGAAAACCAGGATATATAAATTTAAAAACAAATAATCATTAAAAAAAATAAAAATACTTCATTGATTATAGCAGAATTATATTTTGTCTGCATAATATCAAATTAACCAATGAGAATGGGTATTTACAACATTACATAATTTTAGGGCAATAATGGAACTGGAATTTCAATGACATTTTTAAGGTTAGTAACACATGAATGCAAATAACACAAATACTAACTATAGTTTATTTCGGTGTACTTACATAGTTACATAGCTGAAAAGAGACATGTGTCCATCAAGTTCAGCATTCCTCACATTTGTTTTCTGTTGATCCAAATGAAGGCAAAAAAAAAATAAAAAAACAAAAACCAAAAAATATAATAAAAACAGTTTGCAGCACTTCCAGTTTTGCAACAAACTATGAAAAAAAATCCCTCTTGACCCCAGAATGGCAGTCAGATTTATCCTTGGATCAAAAAGCAAATACCTTACAGTTGAAAATTTAAATAATTGAATACTAGGTTTTTTGCAAGTATGTATCTAGTTGCTGTTTGAACATCTGTACGGACTCTAATAAAACCACTTCTTCAGCCAGAGAATTCTATATCCTTATTGTTCTTCCGGTAAATAAATAATTGTAATAGTAATGTCGATACAATAAAAAACGTGATTTTGCAGCCATCAATAACAGTATTATGATCGAAATTATGACCAACATTCCAGTAGGGGAGAATTTGGGAAATAGCGATCACAATATGGTAATCTTTGAAATAAACTCAAGAAAGCAAAAAAGATTTTATAAAAAAAAAAAAAAAGCCAATTTCTATTAGATTAGGGCAGCTCTAGAACATATCGACTGGCATAAACTCCTTATTAAAAAAAATCCACTGAGGATAAATGGAAACTATTCAGACAACTATTAGAAAGGTACATTTGGCTTAGTAGAGAAGTAAAACGAGATTTAAAATAAGCCAATAATGCTTGCAAAAAGGCAATTAAAGTGGCTAAACTAGAAAATTAGCAATTTATAGCTAAAGAATGCAAAACCAACCCCAAATTTTTTTTCAAGTACATCAATTCTTAAAAAAAAAAAAAAAAAAAAAAGTGTAGGTACACTGGAAACAGAGTTGGGTCTATTAGTTAAATGGACTCTGCAGTGCCCCTCTCTGCCTCCAACCCCCCATCCCAAGTTGCTGAATGGGTTAGAACCCCTTCGATGTCCCTCGGCGCTGGGTCAGGCTCCGTCTACTCTCCTCCCCCGCCAATGTCAGCCGGCGGCGGAGCCTTAATGCGCATGCGCGGCAATGGCTAATTAGACCTCCCCATAGGAAAACGTTATTGGCAGCACTTTTGACAGTGACCTTTCTCACTTTTTCTGGTGCTTAGGTACGCAAGTGGAGATTTACTAACACCCTATGCATTAAAGGGCCAGAACTAAAAGCCTTTATGTATATTGCAGAATTATGTGTTTAGTAACTTTATCTCCTCACTTACTTAGGCATGGGAGTAGCCTTATAAGGCTAGTTTGGTATTTATTATTATTTGGAGTTAGTTTATTTTTGTGTTGACACTTCCTGTTACTTCAGATATTTAGTGGTCTCCCCTCTGGTTACATTGTTCCATACCACTGGATGCTTTGGTGCCTATATCTTTATCTCCAGCCAGCATTATATTCAGTTTGTGAATTTTCGCTTTGTTGTTTCTGTAGATCAGGGTGTTGCAGTGGATGTGATCTACTTGGATTTTGCCAAGGCATTTGATACGGTTCCTCACAAGAGGTTAGTCTTCAAACTAAAATAATTTGGTCCAGATGAATATTCTTGTTCTTAGGTGGAACACTGGCTTAAGGCTAGAGTACAATGAATTGTCATTAAGGGTAAAATTTCAGGCTGGAATAAGTGGTTAGTGGTGTCCCTCAGGGTTCTGTTTTGGGACTGCTTCTATTTAACATGTTTAGAAATTATCTTGCAACAGGAATTGTAAGCCATGTTTTAGTGTTTGCAGATGACACAAAACTTTATAAAGTAATGAAATGTATGAATGTAGAGAAATGCAAAGTTATGCACAAGCAACTTACACCCTAAATGGTAGTGAATTAGGGATAACACCACAAGAGAAGTATTTGAGAATTGTTATAGACAATAAATTAGGCAACAATATGCAATGTCAATCTGCAGTTACTAAGGCCAGTAAGGTTTTGTCATGTATAAATAGAGGCATAAATTCTCGGAATGAAAATATAATTTGCCTTTATAAATCGCTGGTAAGACAACACCTTGAATATGCTGTGCAATTTTGGGCACCTGTTCTAAAGAAGGATATCATGGCACTAGAAAAAGAGCAGAGACGAGCTACAAAATTGATAAAAGGAATGGAGCATTTTAGTTACCAAGAAAGGTTAAAAAATTTAAATCTCTTTAGTCTGGAAAAATGGCACCTTAAAGGGGATATGATAACATTATACAAATATATTCGGGGCCAGTACAAACCATTATCTGGAAATCGATTCATAAACAGGGTTATACATAGGACACGAGGTCACGCATTACAGCTGGAAGAAAGGAGATTTCATCTAAGGCAAAGAAAGGGTTTTTGTTTCTGTAAGAGCAATAAGGATATGGAATTGTCTGCCTGGGGAGGTGGTTTTATCAGAGTCCATACAGATGGTTAAACAGCAATTGGATCAATACTTGCAAAAACATAACATACAGGGATATAATTAGTGGGGTAATAGCTGCTTGATCCAAGGAGACATCTGACTGCTATTTTGGGGTCAAGAAGAAAATTTTCCTAGTTTGTTGCAAAATTGGAAGCGCTACAGACTGGGTTTTTTGCCTTCTTTTGGATCAACAGCAAGATGGACGCAAGTCTCTTTTCAGCTATGTAACTACAGAACTATGAAAGGGTTGCGCAACTCACTTAGATACATTCTCCTGAGTTATTACGGAGGATGGTGGGTCCATAGAATCTGTACCTCCAAGACAAAAGCTTTTTGTAATCCAAGTCACTCTAAGTTCTGTTACTTGCACCTGAAGAGAGAGGAAAAGAGATGGGAAAGAAAGCAACCAAAATGAGAAAAAAAAAAAATACCAAAAAAAACAAAAAACCAAGACTGTTTCAGAATAACTGAACTTCTATTTAATTGGTCATGTAATTGCCCTCTCCTGAAACGGTCATCAAAACAAAACACAAAGCCTTCAATGAATACTATCCTAGCAACCTACTTTTCTACGCTACCCTTACCTTTTGTATCACTATACCCCACTCCCTCTAGCATGTAAAAGCAGGGCCCTCAATCCCTGTTCGTCAAACTTTCCTGGTTACAAATACGGGTCTGTTAGTCAACCCATTGTACAGCGCTACAGAACTTGTTGGTGCTTTATACGTAATAATAATAGTAATAAATAAATGAAACTGCTACCTCAACCATCAACAATGATAAAGTCAGCTTATGAAAGCACTGGTTACACATTTCTTTTGCCAGAATTGTATTTATATTAATTGAATGAATTGATCGCAATATACATTTGGCTACCAATCTAGATGAAAAGCTTAAAAGTATAATTACCTCTTCAACGCCCACACGGAATTTGCTCTTGGCACTGAGAACTGGCTTGACCCCTGAGAGCCACTGAACATTTGAAAACACTTTGGATGGGCCGATTAGAACTTGCCCAGGATAGAAGCCATAAGAATCATCGAAGAACAGGCCCTATAAGAGGACAATGAAGGGTGAGCATGCTGTAACAATTCTCAACTGACTGAACAATGATGTTTGACCTTACAATGGCTCTGCCAATAGAAACAGTGCATAGAACATATAACATGTTTAACCCCTTCACTTTTTTGATTGAAATTTTTTTTAGCATAACATTTATTTGAAGCAAGGGATATATTGAAATATATAACAGTAATTTTGCATTTGTATTGCTTTGCAGCCAGACTTAAAAAAATACAATAAAAAATAAAATAAAATAAATGTAAATATGTAAATTCACACACATTTTTATTTTTCACTTATTCGTTCATCTTTGGGAAATGAAATGTTTTAGACAGTATACACAGTGTTTTTTCCATCTTACAATATTTCACACAGTGTCTGAAATGTAAACAATTTTCTCACATATTGTAGCTGTGACAAAAATATATAAATAACATTGTCAAACACTTTGCCTATATGTATTTGTAAGGAACCTGGAGGTATTACTAGTAGTGCAGTTTAGGGATCGACAGATTATCGGCTGTTATTCTGCATTTTCAGCAATATCGGCCTACAGAGATACAGATATTACATATCAGGGCCCATTACAAACCCGGCGGTCCTGGAGTGCCCGCAGCAAGCTCTTACTTACCTTCCCAGCAGCTCCCCTGTGTAAATCTCGTGAGTCCCGCGGCCGTCAGAGCGTTGCCACGGGTTACCATGGCAACACTCCACACGGCACACTGGACGTGAGATTTAGACAGGGGAGCTGCTGGGAAGGTAAGCAAGAGCTTGCTGCGGGCCCCCACTTCACAGTCCATGCCACAGGACCACCAGGGAATGCCACGTAAGAAGCGGGGGGATGACTTAAAAAAATAAATAATAAATATATATATATTTTCATATATTCAATATACACACACACACTGCATTCACTATACACACACACACAAACACACTGCATTCACTATACACACACACACACACACCACTCACTTTATGCACACCACACAAACATTCTGCATTCACTATACAGACTACACAAACACACTCTGCATTCATTATATACACACACACAGCTCCCCTGTCTAAACACACTGCATCCACTACATGTGGCATGTATATTTTGTGCCTTTACCTTTAGAAATTGTTTATTTTTCAAAATGGTAAATGTACAGAATATCGGTAAGTTATCGGCTATTGGCCTGAAAGTTCACAGATTACTGGTATCAGCTCTAAAAAAATAAATAAATCAATATCGGTCAATCCCTAGTGCAGTTTACTAAAAATGTCAACATAATGTAAAAAGAATGGATGGTTTTGAACATAATGACTATATACAGTTAAATCAAACATTTCTGAAATAAATGTCCTTAAAATTGCTATAGCAATCGACAATCAATCTCTTGACTGCTAATGTAATACTAAGAAAGTAATGGTACAGTCCATTCACTCCTCTCCCCTTCCTGACTTTAAGAAGGCTATCACCCAGTGAAACTTCCTGCACTGTTTGAAACTAGGGAGTGAGCTTACATTTTCAGCAAATTTACATTAATTATATCAGTGACCAGTAGCTTCTGGCTGAGTAATTCATTCCTCTACATGCTGGTAGTCAAAGCTAGAATATACATGAGTGAGGCTTTATGGACAAGATTTTATACTGAAAAATACATGGAAATAAAAACATTACTTGATTTTAGTATTCTCAATGTTGGGAGTTAAAAGTTAAAAAAATATAAAGTACAGCCGGATTTATCATATGTTCACTATATTTTATAATAACAAATAAAGTTTCTGTAAATATTGAATTAAACCATTTTAGCTGACTTTTGAATCCCTTGTGCACAGGTGCTCCTCAGCATCAACCTCCTTCCCTGAAATACTTAAAAGTTGGAATCTATTCAAATAAAATCCATGACTTGCTGTGGATATCAACGGTTCTCTAGTCCTTTTTCCAAAGTTGCTCATATGAAATTGATTGATATAGTGGATGTTATATAAAAGGTCCCCTAAAATAAATTTACTAAACACAAAAACACAAGTGCCTTGTTGTGGTAGCAGTGAGCCACGTTCCCTTGCTAAAAGCCACACCTGACCGACTGGCTATGGCTGAAATAAAAAACAAAAACAAAAAAACAAACGTTGAATATTTAATGGTATAGTCAAAGAGGTTTTCAATATATATATAGCCTGATTTTAGTAAAGTACTAGTCTTGATTGATTGTATAAAATGGAAAAATGCGTAATGCAGATATCACAGACAAAAATAAATAAATAACCACAAAAGAGCCGCATTAAACAGGATTTGTTTCTAAATGCATTACACTAGTCAATACAGCATAAAAGTTAAAATGTGAAATCTTGAAAAACACACACACACATATATATATATATATACATACACACATACATATATAAATATATAAAAGTCGAGAGTGCAATCATGTAACAATGATTTATGATCAGATTTAGAATAATACATTTTAGCTGTGTTATAAGAGGTTAGCTAATTATACGGTCAAGGCAGATTAATTAGATTTGTTTGTCAGTGCAGTATATAACTGTAGCAAGTGGCAACTCTTTATCTATTTAACTATCAATCCCATGGTTCTGCAAGCCAAATTGTAACACTTTGGTTGGTCATCCATACTACTGACATTTGAGGTGGAGAACTATTGATTTACTACATACAGGGTTTTTTGCAGAAGCTAGATCATACAGGAATCCAAATGGAATTTCAAATAAAAGGAAAACATATCCGAAATAGAGAAATTATCTAACTCCGTTATGCTTCCAGTTTGGATACTTTGGGCTTACAATTGCAATTTTCTTTGAATTCCTGACAATCGTCACTTTAGTAAATAGCCTTGATGACTATTGAAGCAGCAATGCCACCTTAAGAGGTGTTCAGGTTGAAACTATTCTCCAATAAGAAAAAAAAACAAAACAAAAAAAACAGTTACCGAGTCACTGGCATGAGGACAGACATCATACAGCTTGGATGCATCTTCTGTACTCATGGAACATCTGGGTGAGCGAGAGAAAAAACAAAAAACACTACTTTAAAAATTAAAACAAAAAGCAACAAGCCTGTGTGGATTTCCCTAAAACTAGCAAATCCAACTTAGAAAATACTGTTAGCCAATGAATGGCAGAAATTTAGTTTTGGCCTTTAAAATTCACAGCAACAAAAATAATACATTTGAAGATGGACTGCCTATAAATAGAAACAGGCTAGACAGGTTTGAAGTTTACAAAAAGGTATCTAGTACAATCTGGAGAATTTCCAAATATTTAAAAAACAAAAACAAAAACAAAAAAACAACAACTTGTGTGTACACCCAAACTATGAAATTAATAGGATTTACCTGGCTCCATTAGACAGCTTAAGAATGACCTGGTTCTTAAGGTCATAAACCTTTCCCAGCCAGCAATCATAAACGATGTAGTCTCCATACATGATGGGCTGATAAAATAAAACACAAAGAGGTCATAGCACTGAAACAGAATTGAAAAAGTAAGTGGCCCGAGGAGGTGTGTAGGCATACAGAACAAGGTATAATCAGTGTTACACCAAGTTATACAAGCACCTAAACATCCCACAATAAATCTACCACTTCTGGTGACAAAGGCAAAGTCGAATGCAGTGGTTCTCAAACCAGTCCTTAAGGCTAGTTCAGGATTACCCAGTTGTGTATAAGGCGTTTTCCCCCCCCCCATAGACACAATTGGGTAATCCCTATATCCTGGACTGGTAGCCTTGCATACATACTAGATATTTATCCAAAATATATAAACACCTAATTGTTCATGCTCCTTAGCTCATCTTGACTGCAAAGGCAACAGGGTGGAAAGTAGAGAAAGTGATACAGTCTCAAACAATGCAATGCCTTTTAAACACCCATAATCTGTAATATTACTATTTCTACACAGAACATTTGGTGCCTGCAGAGTAATGCTCTAAACTACAGACCAGAAACTCTAGATTTCTTGTGTAGGAATGGGGCGTGAGGAATCCCTTTAAAAGCGATGGAATCTCACCCAGATGTGCTGCAGGTCCTTGCTGTTGACTGGGTGCAGGAAGCAGTTGATGCCAACCAGTTTAACTACACAGTCAATGTTCACATCAATCACTGTGCCACACTGGCTGTCCTGAAAAATAATACAATGGCACAGTGAGGTTCAGTAATTAGGAACGAAAATTTCAGTAGATAATATTACTTTGAGGCATTTATTTGCCAACTTGAAAGCATGACTCTATAGAATAACATTGAAGTGTTCATGCTCTCTACATGTCCAGTCTTAGTAGGGTGATTGTGAACAGAAGTCAATACATACCTTTGTGCCCATTCGTCGTACAACGTCTCGGGGCACTAGTGATCGGTCTTCCAGTTTTAACTGAAAAACAACAATACAGTCAATATTATAGGATGATGGTACTGGCACACCAAAGAAGGAAGTTAAATCCAACAGAAAATGGACACAGCACATGTATAAATCTAGAGCAAGAGTTAGACAACCTTTGGCACTCCAGTCCTGTGGACACCAGCTCCCATAATGCTCTTACAACCATAATTCTGGCAAAGCATCGTGGGACATGTAGTCCACAACATCGGGAGTTATGATGGTAGCCTACCCCGAATAGAGTAATGGCACCTTTTGCGCGTTTTGAATTAAACATCACTTTGATATAATTCTAAGAGAGACTCTGAAAAATTTGTTTTTGTACAATGTTAAAGAAAATTGTAGTGGGGGTGGGGACAGGAATGTTGATACACTAGGTAACACAAACATATTCAAGCAAGTAAACCAACACTGCATTAACATGGCTAGGGATAAAGAAGATATAAGGGCAGTGCCTAAGGCTTTCTTGAACCCTTTTGGTTTTAAAAAAAAAAAAAAAAAAAAATGGAGAATAACTCAGCACCCACAGTCCACTGCCTAAATGTGAGATTTCATAAAGAAATCTTACTTATTCATCATCTGTCAAATTGTATAGCATTAGCACGCACTGTTTATTCACATCAAAGAGTCTGTGTTGATTCAGCTTGGCCGAAATCAACCTATACCCTAGCAGTCAGGCTCTCTCATACAGACAACTAGATGGATGGTTGACGAAGTGAGATTTTCTTCATTGTGACATTGCATAGCCATAGCTTCCAAGCACTATAATCACTGCAATACACTGTAGTGGAGATGGTGGTTTAAGTAACTTTGTGCTGATCAGATGAAATGTCATTGTAAAAAAAATAAATAAAAAAAACACATTACATTGAAAGGATCGAGAGGTTTAATAAACATACTACTTGTGTGACAATATCCATAAACTTTGTAAAGAAACATGGTAACGTCTGTTTTCCATATAGAGATGCTGAAGATAATGTAATAAAAGGGTGAGATTTCTAAATAGCAGAATGTAATTCAAGGTACTATGTAAACACACGGACAGAAAGGGTTAACCACATCCCCAATGGGAAAGAGTCACGGGAAGTCCTTCCCAACACTGTTTTCACAAAAACCTCCCAACGGACATCAACTACAACAATCACATGCTTACTATTCAAAGTAGCCTACAATATGGTACAGGGTACCAGCAGTAATAGAAAAACAAGAAGGACAATGCAATAATTAAACAAAAGGCGATTTTGTTTCTGTTTTGGCCAGAGTTCTATGGAATTGCTGACTGCAATTGATATGGAAGGGAATTCTCTGGTGTAGTGTGAAAGTGGTAGTACAGTTCTGAACAGACAGGCTTCTTGCCAGAATGCTCCTAGGATACAATGCAGACAAACTGCATCAGTGGAGAAAAACCCATTCTCTTCAAGCCCGACCTGTAGCAATGCCCTCTCTGCATGATGCAGCAGAATTTGGGCACATTTTCACATGGATATCTGTTTTTCTATGAAAATTTCAGACAACAAAAATGTAAGAGAAAGTTGCGTAATTAGTGTTAAAAGGTAACAAAAACTATTCTTTGATTTTTTTATTTTTATTTTTTTAATTATGGCTACTTATTAAAGTAAATAAAATGTTTCATATCCATTATTAGATGTATTACCCAAAAATTTCATTTATTAAAAAGAAGGCTAAAAAACAAGCACCAGATTCCAGGCCCCTAGCCAAAGTCAAAACAGAATTGACAAGGAGAATTTTTCTAACTCTGCTAATATGGTCTAATATTTAAATTCACATTGATTTCCCGGTAATTATAACTTTAGTGAATACCCTTTTATGTGGGTTTATTAAAATCAATATAAAGAACAGATACACCTACAAGCAGTGATTTCAGATTCCTGAAATAAATCAGGAATATCAGATCAGAGACTAAAAACGCACAATATGCAGTAATAAAATTGTAAAATTTGGAGAGAAATTTAAAAGATAAATAGCTACTGAGAATGATGAGGCAATGCGGATCTAAAACAGCCCAGATGAAAATGATACTATTAATAGGTTTATCAATATTTCATATAATTCTCATGAGAAAAGAATCTGATGGGCTGATTAACCACGTGAAGATAGGAGTGAATGTTCAGTCAATGCTGTGCAGAGGCTGAAAATATTTAACAGCTGCATTACAGCATCTTCACAGATACAGACCTTGGATAATTAATAGACAGATTGAAATCTCACAAGATAAGCAGAATATTTCACATGTTTTTAAACACTGGTGAAGACTTCTTTATTATTGTACATTTTTATGTTACTAGTATTATACAATTCTCTAACCAATCACCACGTTTCTAAAGGGTTTATTCACCAACTACAGAATTTTAGATACATTAAATCAAGACTAAAAATGTCTAAATAATAGCAGATATGGAAAAAATAAATACATGAGAGACTCTGCTATAATTACGGTTTATTTTAGAGTGTATTTAGTAATTTGATCCTGAAATCTCTGCAAACTGGTGTTATATGAACAAATCGCTAAGTGTTCTAGTCCACTAACCCCTTGAGTATTTGGCTCAATCTTGAGTAACCTTTGGCACTACAGCTGTCATGGACTGTGCCTTATAAGGCGCAGCCAGCCATATCGTTGGCTGAGCCTCATGGGAAACGTGGTCCACGACAGCTGCAAGGCCAAAGGTTAGCTATCAAAGATTTAGTATAGTGATACAATATAATCTTGCAGGCACTGTGACTAAAACCTGGGCAATCAGTGATACACAATATCAGTAAGGTTGATGTGGGGAAAACAGGGGGGGAGGGGGGATTCCGGGTATTAACAGTAATTTCTGCACAGTCATGTGATTTATCTGGACTGCAATGTGCTGTAATTTTCTCACTCCCTTTCCATTAACTATCTTATCACAAGTAAGGAAATAACCTGTCTTCCCCAACAACACACGTGTGATTTCAGCCAATCATTAACTTAACACGTAATAACAGGTTTATGTAATTTTCAGATTTCCAAAAGGTATACATTTTTAAATAAAACTAAAAATACAAAGTTATAAATATATTTTAACCATCTGCACAATTCCATTAACTATGGGCTTAATGCAAAATGTCTCGTAGCAGATCTAATGCCTTTCGAAATGGTCATAAAGCGTACAAATATGAAGACGCATATCATGTTGCAAATTCTCAGTAAAGAGAAATAAAATAAACAAATAAATAAATATTTCAACAAACATGACCATAAAGGCCTAGATGAACCAGCTACATCTGATCTGCTACATAATGCAGACACTTTAGAATCACACCCATCTTTACAGTCTGCTTTGTCAGACCTGTAATTGTGTCACGGAAAATGTAATTTGTTCCAGTTTTTCAAGACGCAACATATATTGCATATGTCTTTATATTAATATTTAAAGACTTATGAGGCCTAATTTGCATTGCTCACAAACTCATGCTTTTTTTCAATTTATAAATAATTTAATTTGAAGATTTCCTAGACATAAAAATCTGATGGTGTCTTACATCTTGTAATATGCCAAATAGACTGTACGGGAAGCATTAACTATGTGTTTAGAATTCATGGCAATTTGGATATGAGAGATGGTGGCTGCAAAGGCCTCTTTGGAGTTTTTGGGACAAATGGAAAAAAAACAAAAACAATTATGTATCCTGTGCTTTAATGATGGAAAGAGACAGAATGCCTCAGGCAGTGCCAGAGTTGGATGGGGAAGATGAATGAGAAGAACTGTGAAAAAATCTTCTGACACTAGGCCATGATTACTGTCATTCTGTACCAAATCAACAAGACCTGCCTAAACAGACCTCATCTGACAAGTTGCCATTATCATTAAAAGATGTGGCAGATTCATAGTCGCATTCATTACTTTCACTGAAATATTACTTTAACCAGATAAAGAGAGTGGAACAATGCCATCTCAGAGATAGATGTCACAGTGGAGATATCCTTTTATATTAAGTTGAGCTTGACAGCCATAAATTGTCACAGTACATCAGTAATGACTCAATGCTAACGCTTCTGGTGTTAAGGACCACATTACCCAAGTTACTATAGCCAGCAAACAATTTGATTTTCAAAAACTTACTGTTTGATTAAAACAAAATAGTACTATGTAAGAAGACCATATCACACAGTTATACAAGAATTTGGAATTTTTAACTAGTATGGTGTCTTTGTCTATTCATTCAAGGAGATGTTTAAAATAAAAAAATAAAAAACATACGGTATTTCACGGCTGTAAAATGGTGGCCTTTAATTTATCCAATTCTGCTATTGGTATTTGACCATTACATTCCAGACAGTTCCACTTTACCATGAGGTTCTATTTCATAGAACTAAATGCAATGGTGGGGCTTATAAGAAAATGCACCCTGTTCTGAAGTATATATATTTTTTTCCTGTGTTCTTTGTGCATGGGCAATGCAGTAGTCCTATAACAATGTAGTCCAAAGTAGTCCTATTACAACCCCCTAAGTAAATTCTATCATTATGCATGTTATTAAAAAAAAAGAAAAAAAAAAGAGCTAATTTCAATACTTTCCTCTAAAACCCCTATAACCCCCTCAACAATCAACAACTAATATCCTGCAGATGGCATTTAACTTATCCACTGCAATTTCTGGAAAAAATCTGCTTCTCACAATGCTCAGCCAGACAAATGAACATGAGGTTTGTGTAATCTCAACCTGGAATGGTTTGTCACTGACCAGGGTGTACAACAATTTCAGTTGAAAACAGGGGGGTGACATTTAGCATTTTTCTTACCCCAACACGTCCAATTGAAAATTATTTACAATCCCTATTAGTGACTATACCCCACCGATGGCCCAATATTACCATGAGCATCATGACACCCATCCCATTACCTTTGTCTCCCTCACGTCCTGCTTGATGCCCTCTGGGTACCACTGCACCCGCACATACCCCCTCTTCAGGGGCCCAAACCTGCTGGCCTCCCCTGCAGCCTCCGAGCCGGGGCTCCCCTGGCCCCCCTCACCCCCTCCTCCTCCTCCCTTCTTGCTCCCTCTGCTAGACTCCTCTTCTTTCACCACCACCTCGTCATCCTCAGAGTCAGAGTCCTCCCCGTGGATGAGCCGCACCAGGCCGAACCGTGCCAGGCCCCGGTAATAACCGGACACCAGGTCGTGTGAGAAGAGCAGCCGCTGGGAGCCGTCGGTGCCGGCCATGGGGGTGGGAGGAGGGGGAGGCGCGCCGGTGGGATGCGGAGGGGGGGAGGAGGGAGCCGTTATGTCTGCGGGATCCGCCATTGTTGTTGTCCGGAAGAGAAGAGAGAGGGGAGCTGTGGCCGGTGCTCTGGGCGGTTACCTAGGAGAGCGCGCCGTAAATGCGGACTGAGCTCACCGCGCCTCACGTCGTTGCCATGGAATAGGGATGCTGTTGCTAGGGAAAGCACCATGTTGCCATGGAGGCTGCAGGCAGGTCCCAGCTCCAGGCATCAGTAAGCAGGCAGTGCATGAGCATCCCAGCCAGGATGTACCCAGAGCCATGTGGTACCATTACTGGACTCACTGGGTGTTTACAAACACCTTCTCTACACCCCCCAAAAACACAGAGACACTGAGGTTTACTGCTCACCCCTGTCCATTTTACACCCATCTTTAGATACATTAAAGGGGCACTCCAGACCCCTAAAGCATTTTAGCTTGCTGAAAAGCTGTGTGAAGAGTGTGTTCTCTCTTTCTCTCTTTTTTTAAACAAAGATTTCAGATAGAAATTGACAAGAAATTGCAGATTTCAATAGAAATTAATACTCTTATAAATTAACCCAGTTATCCCTTCCCTCCCCTCCCCTCCCCCCATTGCCTTTTAAGCAGACAACAGCCCCTGTTACTCCCTGGTTTGGTTACCTCAGTGGAGCTAAGCTCAAGAAGCAGCAAGTGCCCCAGAGCACCTGCCTTGCAAAGACTTCTCATTGAGCTGTATTGGGAAGTCTGTGATTGGACAGCCACAGAAAGTCTGGGCGGGGTTAGAAGGGGACGGCTTGCAAAGGCTGCAGACAAGAGATCTGCAGGTTTTGCAATAGCTGGATGCAGAAAGGGTGTGATCTGATGTTTAGTGGTGCATGTTTCGGGTTTGGTGTATTATCAGTGTCATTCATGTGTGAATTTTGATGCGGGTACGAGTAGGAATATGGAACCAGATAGGGAAGAGTGGTTGAAAAGAGAGAGGATAAAGGGAGAGAAAAAAAATGACGGAGGAGGAGAATAGAGAGAAAATATAAAGGGGGGGGGGGTAGGGTGGGGGAAGTCGCATGCACTCTGTCACGCAAAAGCCAAGGTAGTAGAGAACTTGAGGGAAGCGTGTAGACTGTCCATTTCGTCCTGCCCTCCCAGGCAATTCCGAGCTGTTTAGTGTCTTACATCAGATCCCCCACCATTCCCCTCCCGCCTACCCCCGCTTTGATGTGTCCATTCTTCTCTCTGTGATGGTTTCTTGAACTGTCATAAAGTCAGTGTGTCAAGTTTCTAATTTCATGCACCTCTCCTAATTTTTTTCTATTCCCCTGTGATCCTTTATGATTTAGTTTGTTTCCATCTACTCCTTTGTTGGTATTTTTAATCCCCACACTTCTAGGTGTAAGTTTTAGTTTTTTCTCACTTTTGTGCTTTTATGGATAGTTACAGTAAGACCAAACCAAACTGATAGCTAATTGAATCTTTTCTGTTTTCCAGTATTCCACACTTTTTATAAATGTTATCTTATTTGTCACTGTTGCTTTGTAGGTTTTTAATTACTGGTACTGTTTTATGTACATTTGTTAGTGAAATTCACTATTTTTATTTTATACAAAAGAAAATATAGATACTACTTTTTCTTAGGTAAAATATGATCTCTGCCAATCTTTAAACAAGGTTACTTTTCAGTTGCCATGTTAATTTAATTATAATCCATTAGCCAAAAGAAACCCACAGATGGGCAAACTGCATACGTCATGGACAAAAGAGAGCAAAATGGTGGTGCCCAGTTATCGTGGTGCAAGGGGGAAAAAAGGACCAAATAAATGAATAAAGGGAAGGAAGGCGAGTGTAATCATTACAGGAACGGTATAGTGTTAGGAATACAAACATGTATTATTAACTCTATATTGTTGGACTAGTTATTTATGTCCCTGCAGCCCCCCCTCCCCCACTCCCATAGAATGGAGTTAAACTTACCTTACCAGCAGCTGGCCCCACTTCAATGGCTGAGATCATCAGTTATGACCATCTCAGACAATCCAATGTTTTCTCCTTGTAAAACATTTGGCGGCTATTGCACGTGTTTGTTGTTGTATTTTTCCTAATAAGCCTGTATTCTTCTCCATTTCATTAAGCGATGAAGTGTATGTGAGGTTCTTGGGAGAAGTGTCACATTTGCTTGGCAATATTGCAGTGATATTGAGTAATACCAATCAGGTAGTTCTGGAAGAAATTAAGCTACTTCAGTGGTTCTGTGATGAAGCACCTCTAATCAGATTGATTATCTTTACCAAGTATCCACTCTCATTTGGAACAGATCAGCTAGAGTGATTGTAGGTTAGTTTCCAAGCATCAGCCAAGGCTTGAAGTGTAAAACAGACACATTTTATTCAAAACGTGCACATATTTATACAGGGGTTCTCACCTGGGGTCACCAAACCAAACAATACAATCCCACCCCTGCACTTGGTGTCTGGTACATAATTAAGTTATCCTGCCTTTGACTGAGTTAACTAGCCGACACCAGGGCTCCTTAAAACAGTGTCCCTAAAACAGAGAGTACCCCAAAAAGTTATCACTAAGAGCTATACATCCCCAACGTGCTCTAGTTTAAAGGTGCAAGCTATCCAAAAGTGCTCAGATTGGAGATGTCTAGCTTGAGTAATAACCGGTCAAAGTTTGGCTGGGCAGCGACCATCCTCTGATCCAACACAGAGTACCAGACTGTTTGGTACCAAGTTTCGGTCTGGCTTCCCGGAGCCCCATAGGTCCTTCAAGAGCTTGTTATTGCTGGACATCTCACCTCGCTGACCTTTGCTCCAAATAGCACTCAGGTTGGTGGTCCTTGGACCGAGCAATGCCCACTTGAAGATCTCTCTGGACACCTTCTGGTCAAGGGCTCTGTGCTCTATTTAGTTCCAAGAAGTGTCCTGAAAGTCTGTGGGGGCTAGCTGGGTGAAAGGCTAGGTTCCCTTATGTTTTGTAAATTTCTGACACAGCAGGGGCAAACATGGTGATAAAAGTTATCCTGTGGAGGAGTTGGTCCTAAGTCCAGGGCCAGTTGTTTAAGTGACCAGGTCAATCTGTCACGCTGCTACCCCTTAACCATTGATCCGGTGGACAAAGCTTTACCCTTACAGGTAGGCTTTGGAATATCTGGGGCACAAACAGTAATTATTCAAATTGAGTTTGCCGGGACAACCTGTCAGCATTTCCATTCTATTTACCGGGTCAATAATGTAATGTGAAATCATACGACTGGAGGGCTAGGCTGCACTGCAGTAAGCAAGCATTGACCCGGCCACCCGGTTAAACCACACCAAATGGTTGTGGTCCATGATTAGGGTAGAAGGGCCCCATAAAGATAGGGTTGTAATTTCTTCAGCTCTCAGACTAGAGCCAGGCACTCTTTCTTCATGGCGTAGTAGCTCACCTCCAGAGGCAGCAACTTCCTGCTGACATAGGCAACCACATGTTCACCGCCATCTTTCACAACATTTTTCAACTGTTGGAAGGCCTTCTCACAATCGGGAGACCACAGGATTGTCTGGGAAGGTTATTTTTGGATAAGTTATTCAGGCCTTAGCAATGGCGCAATACTCAAATCACCTGTTGTAGGCTATAAAAGGCTATAACATGAGTCTTGGTACGAGGTGTGGGCCAACTGGCACCAGCTTCAACCTTGGCAAACTCTGGTCAATGTTTCTCCACATCCCATCCATTTTCCCAGGTATTGCACCCAGGTCTGGATTAACCTAGGGGCTGATGGAGCTGCAGCTCCAGGCCCAGGCCCAGGCCCATGGAATAGGCCTATTTAAAAAAAAAAAAAAACACACACTACTCTTAGGTTGGCCACCTGACTGGTATTTTACTGGCACTGCCACTTTGAGGCTGCATGGCCGTGCTGGTATTGCAGGAATATCGGCAATACAAATGCAGGTACAGTGGGACCTGGGTTTACAAACGCCTCGGTTAACATAATTTTCGGTTTACAAATTAAAATCCATTGAAAATAATGCATCGGTTTACAAAAAATGTTCGCAATACAAAGCAAGTTTCCCCAGGATGCATTGCACCTGGGAGGTTTATAGCACCGCCCCCTGCATGCTGGAGCTGGTGGGTAGCATGTGGCGTCGAGTGTGGAGGTGTTGGAGCGGCTTTTGCATCAAGTTTTGGAGCCATTCTGGAAATTGTTTGCAGTTGTTTTGGGACTTTTTGGTGCATTTCTCAAGCTATGGAAAGGTAGGGAGTTGAGCTTCGTCGTTTGCATGCCTTTTATTGTGTGTTCTGCATTGTGGGTTGATTTCCATGCCAGCTCATTTTGACTTTTTTTCTGACCTCCAGAACGGATTAATTGTTTTTCAGTGCATTCCTATGGGAAACCACGTTTCGGTTGACAAATTTTTAGCAATAAGAAACGTCCCAGAGAATGCATTAAATTCATAAACCGAGGTCCTACTGTATTTTTCTCCATGTAAACGGAGATTACTCTGCAATACCAGCACCGGCCAGTAGGGGTCACTGTGTGTGGAGAGAGGCAGGGATAGGAAGTTACAGCATATCCCTGCCTCTGTCTACTACTCACTGATCTGTGGGGGAGCAGCTACACAGCACAGAGAGTCCAGACAGCAGCTCTACAGCTCAGGTAAGTAAGGGATGAGGGGAGGCATGGGTACACTGAGACACTAGGGGACACTGGGAGACCTGGGGACACTGAGATACTTGGGGACACTGGAAAACATGGGGACACTGAGACACTAGGGGACACTGTGAGACATGGGGACGCTGAGACACATGGGGACACTGTGAGACATAGAGACATTGGGAGACACTGAGACATTAGGACACGGAGACACTAGGGACACAGTGTCCACATGTCTCCCAGTGTCCCCATGGCTCCCAGGTTCCCCTAGTCTCCCAGTGTCTGTGTCCCCATGTCTCTCAGTGTCCCTAGTGACTCAGAGTCCCCATGTCTCCCAGTGTCCCCAAGTCTCCCAGTGACTGTGTCCCCATGTCTCCCCATGTCTGTGTGTCTCCCAGTGTCGACATGTCTCCCAGCCAGTGTGCTCAGTGTCCCCATGTCTCCCAGTGTCCCCAAGTCTCCCAGTGTCTGTGTCCCCATGTCTTCTAGTGTCCCCAAATGTCTGTGTCCCTATGTCTCCCAGTGTCCCCATATCTATG